AAGATTATAGAAAAAATGTTTAGAGAAGAAATGTAAAAAAGAAGATATAAAATAGTAAATAAATAAGAAGATAAGAATAAAATAATATCAAAAACAAAATGATGCAGAGTAGAAAAAACTGAAGATAAAAATTATAGTTTAAAAAGAATTAAAAATAAAAAAAAAATACAAAAAAAATACATCAAATAAAATTAAGATATGTAAAAATAAAGAAAAAAAAGTAAAATATATTCAATTGTTTAATGAAGATATTAATGAATTAGTACAGAATAAAATTAATTTATTCTAGTTCAATTCTTGATAGAACTAATAAAATCATCTAATTTAGATATAAATTGATACAACAAGTTAGGTGCCTGCAAATTGCCTATTTTTAAGGCCTGGTCTGGCCTATATTTAAGGTTAAAATTTTTTTTCTAGTCCAGCTCAGCTCATATTTAGAGTTAATATTTTTTTGCTAACCCAACCTGGCCTGCATATATTAAATTTTTTCTTCAACCCAACCTGGTCTGCAAAAATTTTTTATATAATTTTACAAAATTTTAGGCTTGCACTATCCTACAATTATAAAATTTTACAAATTTTTCAGCCTGGTTTAATCTACAATTATAAAATTTTGCTTCAGGTTCAGGCTATAGGACCCAACACAAGCCTCATAACAAGTTATATTTAAGTATAGTTTCTGTACTCAAATGATGCTAAACTTGTAATTGCAAAAAGTGAATTACTAAAAATAGATAATATTTTAATTAGTAAAATTTTGTATTTAAGTTTCAATAAAATGATCAAAAAAAAAAATATAAAAAAAACCTTAAAATTAATTCTAAATATTTATTATCTAACTCATTATTTTGAAATTTATTATTAGATATTTTATATGAATAAACTATTTTATTATGAACTTCTTCTAACTATCTTTAAAAAATAAAATATCTAATATTTGATTATATAATTTTTGAACATTATAATAAATATAAAATTCATTAGAATTATAAATATAAAGATTATTAGAATTAGAAATATAAAGATTATTTAAACTACAAATATAAAGTTATTATAATTGTAAATATGATAATTGTTAGGATCATGAACTTGAATGCTATTAAGATTATGAATATAAATATTATTAAAATTATAAATATAAAAGTTATTAAAATTGTAAATATAAAAGTAATTAAAATCATAAACTTGCAAATAATTAAGATTATGAATTTGAAACTTATTAAAATTTTGAACAAATTAAATATAATTATCATAATCTTGCTGATTGAGATCTTATATATATAAAATATTAAAATTGTTAAATATTTGTAAATAATTAAAAATTTGAAACTGATAATTTGATTTTTGTATATCATTATAATTTAAATTATTATAAGAATAATCTGAAGTATCTTGAAACTTTATAAAATACTAATTAGATTCAGTAATAAAACTTTTAAATATTTTGACAATAACTAAGACTTTGTGTATATTGAAAATTTTAAGTATTATAAACATTATGAAAAACTTAGTTATGTAAATAACAATATTCAGAATTATCCAAGCTCATATTTGCTTCGAAAGTCAAGAATGATATTGTTTTTGATAGTAAGTTTAGATATAAATGATGTTAACGATACAAGAAATGAGAGCACAGAAAAAAAAAATGGTAACTATATTTCTCTAAATTAGCATTATATCATAGCTATGCAAAATAAAATTTTATGGCACGTGATCCGGGTTTCATATCGATATCATAGTTACGCAAAATAAAATTTCATGTCACATGAACCGGGTTTCAAACACTACGTATACTATTATAAAGTTTCATTTAATAATTATTATAATTTATCATTTGATTGATTTATAAAGTATTTAGTATTATAGTGATGGTTTTTTTTGTGTTTCCAATTATGTTTTATGCAAAATGGTTTCAGGTAACGGTTCACATAATGATCATGACAATTGTCTGATGATATTGTTTTATTTAATAGTTAATAAATAATTGTTAGTGTTCTTTGAACGAGAGATTTTTCTGCTCTTGAAAAGAAAAAAAAATTTAATTCGATAACGTGTTGCACAGGTTGTTATGTCATACCATGCAATAAATGCACCCAGAAAATGTGCACCAGGTTGGGTTCGGATAAGCGTCCGGATAATAGTCCGGATGGTATCTTAAACATTCATAGGCAGAAGTTTGTCTGATTGGCTGTTACATTATTTATACAGTTTAGAGTACTTTTTAAAAAAGCGAAAACCAACCATAATAAAGTAAAAAAAAAACATATCGAAGGTTTCATTAGAGCTATAGGACACCATAGCCAAAAATAAGATCTAATTCTCGTCCGTTTAAAAAAGTTAGTATAGTAATAACTTCTCAAAACCTGATAAAATCAACTTATTACTAAGCTAATTTTTTTAAACGGACGAGAATTAAATCTTATTTTTGACTATGGAGTCCTACAACTCTAATGAAACCTTCTATATGTTTTTTTTTACTTTATTATGGTTGGTTTTCGTTTTTTTAACAAGTACTCTAAACTGTATAAATAATGTAAAATTAAATTGAATTTATTAGCCAATCAGACGAACTTCTGTCTATGACTTAAAAATGCAAAAAATTTTGTCGATTAAAAAAAATATTATACATATTATATACGTACGTATTCTGTCGATATTATTTAGTCATTGATTCGTAATAAAACATAATAATTTTTATAACAAAATTCAACAATCAGTTCACTATAGAAAAAGTTGAGACTGTATAATTTAAGCTTTTTTTTGATTAAATAAACCAAATATTTCATATGGCTTACAACGTCTATATAATGTTACAGGCTTTCTCTTTCGACATTCTAAAGACAATTTTTTTTAATCCTATTTTTTTTTGACGTTTTTTTGACAAATTGTCAATTGAATGAGTTTTTAACTTAAATGCTGTAGAACAATTCGTGTTTCGATTGCTCAAACTATATGGGTTTTTTTCTTTAGTAATTATGAAAATGCAATGTCTCATCTCTTTAAAAATGATTTTGTTCACTTTAGCTGGATTCGTGTTATTGATTTTTCTTGAAATTCATGAACTCGTTTCAAAGTATCCATCTTTAATATTAATGTTCACCGATTATCACGTTTTCCAAAGTGATTCTAAGTTTTACTAGCTCTCAATATTATAGACCGGTGAAAGTATTCGTTAGAGTAGGGTAGAAAATTTATATATCCAATAGTTTATTTAGGTTTTAATTTATATTGTAGCTTTATCTTGCAAAATAGCGAAGTAACGATTTACAATATTAAAATATGTGCCTGTACCGGACTTCGCATCTTTGTTGTAAAAAGAAATGCTTAGAAATGTTACTTAGATAAAATTTTAATATTTGCATAAACTAATACATTAGTGTTATCGTTCGATCATACTATGTATGATTCCGATCTAATTATCCGGACGATCATCCGGACCCAACTTGGTACACATTTTCTGGGTGTTAGTTATTTAATGAATATAGAATAATAGTAAACTATATATGTGACCTTTTGCCACGTGATATTACTATTATTATATATTTATTTATTGTTAATTTTGAATCCCATTTGATGCAGTTTTAAGAAATCATAAATCATCTCATCGCGACGTAAATTTTGTATAAATTGAAATATAAAATTAAAGCCTATTTTATAAATTTAGGGTCAAATTCCGCGATGTAACAATCGTATGATGATTTTTTTTGATCCAACCAAGTGTTGTCTAATACTAGATCAACGATTCGTATCACCTATGCTAACTTCACGCACGACAATAATATAAATTCAGTGAGTCTGATTCATAACTACTCATGACAAGTCTTAAATCACGTGAATAATATTTTATACTTTCCTCCGATGCTGATAAGACCAGCTAAGAACTAGTCCGATCTGTTGAACACCTTGGTTTCAGATCTGGATCTATTTTAACGTTAACATTCTAATTATGATACATGATAAATACATGATCAGATCGACTGATTTGACATTTGGGCATCTCTACGCTTAATTGGAAACGGAAAATCACAAAAAAGGGTAAAGTCTTACCTGCGCCTAAAATTTTATTTATAAATACAGGCATTGTTCAAAGCAGAGTGAAACCGGAGCGGAAGGATCAAGAGTGGGAGCACCGTAGCACGGATAAAATCAAGAGCATGAAAACTATTCATCTAACGCTACGTAAAATGGTTTTCAAATTCGTGACGCCTTTATTCCTTTTATGACTAAAATTGTAAAAAAAAAGACATCTTTAAAAGCCGCGCTTCAAATTTTGTTTGATTGTCGAGACTATTTTGCTGATCGCTGCGCCATCAATCAGTCACCGACTCTACATTATTCTTTTCATTATCGATTCGTTACGCTAATACTCAGTATGGGTTCGCCAAAAACTAATTTAGCTAAATCGACTTCATATATCATAAATCTCAAGAACTAACTGTGTGGCTTGGCGCGTAACATTTTATTTATTTAGATTTTCCGTGCACGTGATTTTGTGCACCAATTAAAACTTAAAAACCAGATCAATAGAATAAAGCTAAAGATTTAGTGAAAAATCATAAGTGTTGGAATTAAGGTCAATACAAGGTGAAGAATTCTTTTATCAAAACAGTTTTATAATAAAGTTCTGAGTTACTTGGCGATTTTTTCTCAGAAATTATAAATCAAAAATGCGTAATTTAATAATGCTTATCAAAAACGTATTTTCTTTGCAATCTATAATTTTTTATTACAGAGTAGATCCAATTTTAAATTGAATGTCTTTAAGCCGTTCGCACCATGAAAAAGGACGACTTAATTGGCTAAGTTGCCTACAAGTCACGTGCGCAGAAAACATAATTCGATAAAAGCGAGAAACGATAGACAGGCTATGCAAATATCGGCAATGTCACACAAATCTATTCGTTTCACTTTTACCCTGAAGCACACATAGATATGTAAAGCTTTAAAAAACTTAGCCTTCTTTTACCCTTGTAAACCTAAAGACAATCCTTTCTGTAATGCAAAAACATAAAATTTACGACACCATAACATTTTTAACCTTCACAATATGGCTTTTCACGATAACGGCGGTTCAAGCTCAACAAACTATGCAATTGCTTAATACATTCGACGGATACATTAATTCAACAAATTCATATGTGACATTTATGTTTAATGCGTCAGGGGTACCTGATAGAACTGGTGGACTTTCAAGGATATTTGCTATGGTCAAAAGGCAAGCTACTAGTCCTACTGCGACGATCGGTTCAAGGCTTCCTGGATCGAGTACAATAATTAGTTCAACGACCAGTATAATCAATCAACCAACCCCACCACCAGTGAGTGGATCGTCCAAGAAGATATATATTTCCATATCAATTTGCAGAATACCCAAAGGATCTGCAAATTATCCGCCGAGAGCTTTTGTTTCTACAAACCCTTCACAAACCAGACCTGGTCCGAATATGATTAATACGCAAGAAATATTCATTGAAAATGGATTTGCAAATTATACAATTACTCTTCCATATACATACATTGGAATACTTTATCCAAATAAAACTGGGTTAACAGGAGATTATTATTATTCAGTTGGTGCCTCGATTTTAGGTATTTTAACTTCGTTCATCTATATTTTTTATACTATATATAATATAATTGTGTAATTTAAATAATCCTTTTTTTTTTTGTTGAAACAGATTACAGACATCCACTTCCAACTTCAGATATACAATTAATTCGAGAAGATACTGATAGCTCTTCGGCTTTATTCAGATTAAATAAATATTTTGATGTGGGCGTAATTACGGCATATATTGCGGAAAAAAGTCTTGTAGAAGGATTATCTCATTCTGCATGTGCATTTAACATGAGCACATCCACTAACCTAAATTTCCAATATAATTACACTACGCAAAGGTCATCACCTAATAATGTGTCAACTGTTTCAACGGTTTTTATATCCAAACTGAATAATGGTACAGATTATACCGCTTTAGTAGTAACTAATAATTCAAATATTTTACGATTATCATCAAACCCACTACCTCTTAAAACTTTATCTCGTAAGTTGACTTCTTTATTATTCATGTTGCACTTTGATAATTAAATATTAATATATATTATTTTATAAAGAAATCAATTGCAGATTAATCAGTGGTCTCAGTTTTTGTGATAAGGTGGCATACTCAGTACCTGCAAACCCTAGTCTTGCTACTTCCGACATTGCGAATATTTATGACAATCTTGCGAACGCTAGCTATCAAAATTTCAGTTTAGCATTGGCTCAATATTCTTGTGATTCTCAATTTTCTTTGGTTAGAAATTGTGATGATTGCAGAGTTGCTTATAAAGATTGGATTTGTGCCGTGTCGATTCCACGTTGTGGTGCCACAAATTCAAATTCTATTATTCCAAGACAAGTAAATCAAAGTCGAATTCCTGCTATTGATCAAGCTCTCTATCCTGGTGCATATCAAGAAATCCCTCCTTGTATAAATTTATGTTATAATGTGACACAATCTTGTCCACCAATCTTGCAATTCAATTGTCCACCAAATGGCACCTTTAATTCTGTATTATCATTAAGTTATGGAATGATGTCATCTGGTATTAGCGTAAACAATGAAATTCTATGTAATCCAATGGGTAGTGACTGGGTCATATCGATGGCGATACGAAAGAATGATAGGCCTATAAGATATTGGACATTGGGTTTGGCTTATGCTATTTTTGGAATTATAGTATTTGGTTTTTCATAGATTAAAGTATATCTAATATAAAATTTTTCGCCAAGAATCTAATAAAATTCTCTTGGTAAGTAGCATTAAATTAATTTAATATAATTAAAAGGCATTTAACTCATTTAACATATAGCAATCTCTATTATTATATTATAACGTCAATGTAAATTCTTCAATAATTTCTTTAAATAAATGTAATTGACTGGCTCTTCAACGAAGTGACGGAGCCAATATTATTGCGAGATCAGTGATGCAATGACCACACTACACTAGCTCAAATAAAAAAAATTGTACCAAAGGATAATAATTAGATTAATTATCACAGATATGATGTATAAAACTAGTTATTTCAAAATAGTTTTATTAATAATTTGTAATTTAAAAAAAAATATTGAATATTACTACACTTAACCGGGGTAAATTCCTTCCCATGTAATTCTTAGTGTAGTATTTAATGAGCACGTGAACAAATGAGTCAAAGTTTACTGTACCGAAAATGCGAAAAATGTACATAGTAATTAATTAGATCGGCATTTTTCGATGACGTATTGTAGAGAGTCGCACGGACCTAAAAATTTAAACTTTTGCAGCCCGCCGGGCCCGCCGAATAAAATTTATTATGTTTTTTGAAAGTTCGTTTTACCTCACCAGTATTGTTAGGTATATAAGTAATTATTATGTAAGTAAAATGAGCACTTTTGGTTTCGCCCGTCACCCAAATCCATAAAGAGAGAAGACAAACACATGGTTCCATTGGTTTCAGATAAGTGATTATGTTTGTTATAACTGTTACCAATTTTAACAAATACTAAATTTGTAGTGTACTTTGTTTAAACATAGACACTTAAATAAACCAGATTTATTTCGGTTTTATGATTTTGGGCAAGTGTAAGGATTACTCAATTAAAATTGCCCAATGATGCATTTAAGGTTCTATGGCTGCATGACAGTAAACAGCCTTAAATAGATACATGACAAATAAAGCCAAGCGGCTCGATAATTGTGACTGCTATTATCACACTATTTGAGCAAAAGAAAAGAGGGAATAGGGAAAACTAAACAAAAGTAAAACGATTCTCTTCCTTCGCTACTTCCGGTATGAAATCGAAGTAATTAATGAGAGATATTACAATATATGAGTCGTAATTGTATAGTTAGTGTATTTGAATAGCTAGTGGTATGAGACAAATACGTACAAGCAGCGAACCTATTCCCATATGCATTTCCAGTGTACCATTTGAATTATGATCAAGCAATAATAAAAACCTATTTTAATCAATGTTCTACGTTCTTCAAAATTTTATTTTTTATTTTTAGAAGCAGCTGCTAATCTTTTTACTGTTTCTTGCTTCACCAATCCTCCAATCTGGAATGCTTTACCAGGTTGTTCTCTTAAATAGAATAACTTTGCTCGTCTAAATCCTTCACCTCTTTGTAAAATTTTAATATTTTTGATCATTGGTGAATATATAGAAAATCTTTGTTCAACTCCAACTTTCAAGATTATATTACGTAAAGTCAAATTTGTATCAATTCCTTGTCTTCGAATTGAGATACAAACGCCGGCGAATGCGGAAACTGCATCGCTTCCTTTATTTATGTATGATTCTACCATGACTACATCGCCTACTTTAATACAATCTTTATTGTTCTTATCGAAAAGCTCAGTACGATCAGGTTGTTGTTTAATTTCTTCTTCTGCTATTAAGCTCATTAAATTTTTGCCTTTAATATTGGGTGTATCATTGTTAAGTGAAACTGTATTATGTAAATGGCGAAAGACGAACCCCCATGACGAAGGGTAAAATCCTTGGCAAAAGGCAAACCTCTTTGTGAAAGACGAAGCTCCCGGTGAAAAATGAAATTTCTGTAACTTTAATAAAAGACGAGACCCTGATAAAGGCATTTTTTAATCATATGTGTCGTTGTGATCACGATCAAAGATTTTTTTGTTAGATCATATGATTGTCAAATCAGATTGCATATTTAAATCATGTGATATATATCGATTTTCACACGCATCTATCTATATATATATAACGATAAGAATCTTTTTTTTTCACTAGTCGTTGTTGATTTTTTTTAATATCATGTATTATTCCGTTATTTATAGTTAGTAACAGAAAATATTACTAACCCACAGGAACACGGAAAGCTTTGCTCTTTTTTGTAGGGTTTTGGCTGCGGGGGTAATATGGTGGCTGGGTTTAGGTTACGACCGGCCCGCTCAATCAGAATGGTAAAACAAAGAGCAATCGGAGTTTTATCGCGCTCCCAAGGCTGGAACGACATATTTTTTTAGAATAGTTTTTTTTTTTTCTTTACACCTACAAAGCTTTCCAGTTTTTGTATAATATTTTCTGTTACTCTATAGTTAACGTCGACATGTATTTTTTCAATCCCCTTCGCTCTTTTTGAGCTTTTCTTGAGTGAGTATTTACTATTCACTCATGCTTACGTCCAGTATTGGATACAACTCCGGGTTGTTATAAACCTGGTCATGGATACACCTCTACGCGGTGACTGGGACAAGTAAGCTATTTATTTTAGCTGAAACTAAGTATCCTAAACGGCGGGTGTAATTTCAAACTGGCAATATTTAGAAGAAAAAACGTGGATTAAATAGTGATGTAAATAAAAAAAAAATGTAAATAATATTTTTTCGAAATTTTATTAAATGTTTTATTAAATGTTTTATTTTTTAAATGTATAAATTTGTATAACTAAAACTTATTAATAAATATTGTATAACTAAAAACTATTAATAAAAATTAATAAAAAAAAACGTTTAATCAAAGTTTCTTGAAATTAACAATGAATTTTAAATGTTTTTGAATTTTTTTTACGTATATTGATGCATCTAATACCGGATTGCCTGTCAAAGCTAGGATCGAAAAACTAGTAAAACCAATTTTTATAATTTATACAATATAAGACTTGCGGTGGAAAAATCCCGACAATCAAGAGTTTTTGTAGGATTTGAATAAATTTTAGCGTAGGCCATGTTTTCAAATAAAAATAAGTCTATCACTTCAATTGTAATATAAATAATGATGATTGTTTTACTCAATACATTTTACTTAAACACATAACCCATATGATATAATTTAGTTCGTGAGTATAAAGAATATTTATTATCAATTATTTAACATAAGCTATCAAATTCGATGTTGACTAATGTACACACCAATCCACTTTTATGTTTAAATTGACCTAATCCAATGCAAACTCTGGTTCATTTTCATAAGCATGGAAATCACCACATTTTAACGTATAAATAAAAAAACAATTAAATGCGACAACCTTACAGAAGTACAAAATTATACAAGCGAATTGGCCTTTTTCTCAGCATTAAGTTCATTTATCACTTCCTCCACCTTTCTTTCAAACCACATTTTGTCTGATGGGTCCGGAATAGGGATGAACGGGCCAGGCGTGTTATTACTTCTTAGTATAAGTAAGATTCCAGTGTGTTGCAAGTCAATTGCTTGAAGATCTGAAAAGTAATAGTAAAAAATAATCAATAGCAGTAACAAAAAGTATTAATGAACGAATAGAAAACTTACCCGAAAACGGAACTTCCCAATCAACTTTTAATCTTCTGCTCTTGATTTTTACCAACATAATACGAGATCTAGTGAGCATAATAATTTGTTCATTTCCCATAAGATCTATTGCGTTATCACGGAATATGATTAGAAATCTTTAAAGGATAATGAAAATTATTACTGATGATCGTAGTCGGTTTGGTGTCAGTTGATAAAATCGACCTAATCGAACTAAGTTGATCTTCTTTTTAAAAAAAAACAGTCACTGTATATAAAAATAATCTGAATACAGGAATGGATATCTGGAAATTCTGGAGACATAACTCTATATACGGAGTTGACTGATTTTCCAACTTAGCTTAGTCGAGTTGCTAGGATAAACTTAGGTCGACTACAAACACCAATCACTACAAATACATAAAATATTACCAAGATGTGCCACATATTCGTCTTTAAAATATTTTCCATCTTCTAGTTGTTTTAGCCATGATTGTCCTAGAGCTTCTCTTTGTTGATAGGGCTGTTTCGAAAGTAAGAATAAATAAGATATATATAATTATAAAATCATTTAACCGATAGGTTTTGCCTTGAAAATCAAGTTATAAACATAATCTATTATGTCTCAACTTGATTTTCAAGGCAAAGACCTCAGATGATTATCAAAATGCATACTCTTAAAATTCCGTCACGGCCAACAAATCGAGGCACACGTGCTGGAACAATATCTTTTTCATCGAAAACAGTGGTAGTGTTGCGAATGCCTAAAATAATTAATAGTGATAAATGCATTATATAGTCTAATATAAAAATATTATAAGACAACCGATTAGATCCTCACCTGCTGTTACATTACTTGCTAAATCGAACATTCCCACAACAGGTTTAGTCACAAATCTAATAACAGTAGCATATGTTTATGAGCCGATTGTAATGTAACGCGATTATTATTCTCAAAATTGGAATAATATAATAATTACCCAACAAGACCTTTGCCAACTCCTTTAATCAAGCCAGCAGCACCTTCTTTTTCGGCTCCTTCAATAGGCTTGCGCTACAGTAAAATAATGGTTTTAAGCCAAAATTTCAAAAAAAAACATTCATAAATATCTGCAATGCTTACAACAAGTCCCTCGAAACCACTAACGATACTTACAACAAGCCCCTCGAAACCACTACCGATACTTGTAACCAATGAATTCGCCCCTTGAGCCACGCCATACAATGCATGCCTCGGCCTATTTCTATATTGCGCCATGCGCCTACGATCGATATAGGCTTTATCCATTGTAGCAGTCGCAATACCTAAACAAATAATAATTAAAATTGTACACGTATATAATAATGATAAGTGTAAATATGCACACACACCCTTTCCAATACTTCCGGTGAATTTTGAAACGCTATCACTGAATCCATACACCGTTTTTTTAACGAAGCTCGTTGCGCCCTTTAATTATAGAATAAATGTCAAATATTACTTTATGCAACAAGCAAGCAAACAGAATAAAATAAAAAGATATCAATATACTCTTGCAATCCCAATTCCTAAGTCTTGTGGTCTATCGCTCATAACGATACCTTGATAAGGTTCATAGAAAATATCAACAACACCAGAGCTAATGTTATTAAATAAACCCACGGGATTACCCAAAAAGTCAGCAGATCCAACAATTTTGTGGACCTGTATTTATATATATTTAGATATTGTCAATGACTTAAACAAATAAATTTAAAATAATCGATTTGTACCTGATAAATGAAGGCTTCACCATAATGCTGACGTATACGATCTATTAGAACAGGAAAACTAACGCGCATATTTTCCATAACGAGAGCATTAAGTTTAGTTGGGGCATCCTAGATATGTATACATGTAAACAAAGGTATAGAGAATACAAAATACGATTTATAAAAATGCATTAACGGAGACTATTTACATTAATATTTCCTATTGCCATCGTCAAAACATTGAAGAAAAACATAATTGGATTTCGAGGTGCAGGCCTTATATAGACAGTAAATATCCCATAAAGTTAGGTATTAACAAGTAAAGGTGATAAAACACAGAAATAAAATGTTAAATATTACTTGTTTTCAACATTAATACGCTCAGTTCTCACAAATGATATATTTATTTTCATCGGATTAATGTGCAAAACTTCAAAGTAGAGTTGGTTATCACCCTCTGCAGTTTTTGGCTCAGGAATTTCGAGAGTATCATCGACTAGTGGCCTGCAAGTTGTTAAAGTTGTTAAATAATTTCATATTTATCAACGAATATAAAATATTTGGATTATATGTTCCTTACATATCAGACTCTTGTGTGGCAAGACCTTTAATTTCTAAGAACTCAAGTAGCGCAAAAAGAAAATCTTCATCCATTTCAAATGTCATTTCTTGCAGAAGCATAGAAAAGTATTTAAAGTAGATAACACCATGAGCTAAAAATAAGACATATCGTTAAATGTAAATAAAGTACAATAATTGTAGGTGGTCTTTTTAAAGTGATATATTACATACATTCATCCTTAGCTTTGGTAAGAGATGCTTGAAAAGCTGGATGAATCTGTTCAGACTCGCTGACATCTTTAGGAATAACTGTTGGATATAAGATAATGGGGTAAATTCCACCGTATAGCTGATTGTCAATCTTTTATAAAAAAGTAATTTGAATAAAACATTAAAAAAGTTGGACACAATATTAAATTTTAATGATACATATTAAAATGAACATCTACCTGTAACCAGTTGACACAGAAATTGATTGACTGATATAACGTTGAATCACTATACGTAAATTTTAATCCACGCACTGACGCATAAGCCAATTCCTAGCAAATTAAAAAAAAAAGTTAGACACACTAAAATCAACTTATAAGTATTTAGCAAGTAATATACCTGCATGCGTTTGTTTATTATGGATATTCCAATGCCTTCAAGCCTTATTTGAAACGTTAGAGTAATCACTGAGTCAACATCAATCTAAATTTTAGAATTGATTAAGATATTGATTTCAACCATAAAGATGAGATAAGATTATATTAAAAAAATTTACGAACCACTTCAAAAGCATCTCGACTAGAGTTATCGCTACTCGATGATGTAATTGATGGTGCCTTCGGCCTATACAAACTTTCAGATTGATTATAATTTGAAAGCAGCAAGACCTGTGTAGGACCATCCGCCACAACTTCAATAGCCAAAATGTGACTTCCACCATTAGTCTACACAATATAATGAATGTTATACAATATATAAAACTAGTACAAAAATAAATTAGGCCAAATCTAACATAATTACAGAGCATTTAAATGGCACAAGTGACCCGATTTCTTGAATGTTAACTATTCGTTCATTATTGTTAACCTTTAGCACCAATCTCTTTTCTTTAAGAGCCGGATAATCCCACGAATATGGAGAAGCATTTCCAGGTTTAAGAGTATATTTTTTGGGTGAAGCTGACTGAGTACTTTCACGGCGACTCGGCTCCTGAAATAAAAATAATGGTATTTTTTAGTGATCGAAATAAAAGTTGCTAATAATATCTTAATTGTTTATTTGTAAATTATATGCATCGAACAGTTGATGCACTTCAAAATGCTCTCAAGGATTACCTGCTGGTAGAAAACTACATCAACATCCGAATAATTTTCGACTCTAAAAGGCCATTTTCCTTCTTCTTTGTTGAATATTACAAATACAGTAGCGTCTTCAAGTAAGACTTCCGTCCGAATTAAATCAAGTTCATGATCAGATCTTTCTAACTTCAAGTGAACTCTTCCAAGTTCATCGATATTTATCGGAGAAGACCTAATCATTTTCACAGATAATTAGGTTCTCCAAACATTTTTGGAAAACATATGTACTATTGCCAAAAAGATTACATACCATGAATTTGAATTGTGGTAACGTAGCACCAATTGTCTGGCAGCATCTTGCTTTAAGAAATGAAGTGGCACTCTATCTTTGGATTTAACACAAGTTTCTCCTTTTACTTCAGGCTCGTGGAAAATAATGTCTTCACTTAAATTGTTTTTTATAATAAATCGTGGCGTGAATGTAACAATTTTCGTCAATTTATACTGTAAGTAGATATAAGAAAATTTTAGACCAGAAATTCTAAAGTAATCAGCAGTGATATGGTTTATTCCTGTGCTTACTTTTTGATGACCTTCTTGGACGCTCACACCCAAGTGAATCTCTTCTGCACTTGAAGTTGAAGGAATCACAACTTCTAAGAATGTTCCAACAGCTTCAAAGCTTTGAGCCTAAAATCAATGTACAAATAAATACAAATAGTGAAAATTAGAATTATAAAATATTGTAACGCTACATACCTTGCTCCATTCTGAGTCTCCTACTTTCAAAAGGGCGCGGTTTTGAGGACTATGATCGGCATAAGAAAACATATATGGCGCTACCTATAATTTAAATGTTAATGAACTTATTACAGTGGTATTCTTTCATTAAATAAAATGCACTAACTTGTTGACTTTTTTGTTTGCTTGATACGAATCCTAGTGTTTGAAGGATTAATTTTGTAGATATTAATTCCAATCAATCGAAAAACACTAAGAGTATAATGATTACTAACCTTGACCAGCTGTATCCTTGGCGGATTGAAATAGAGATTTTGATCTGAAGGCCATATCCAAGCCAGTTTTGTTTATCATCACGTAAGGGCTATAAATACTGAACTTAAATGCGCCTCCAGAATCAGGGATTTCACTATAAAACAAAATATAACATTAAAATTTAACCTCATCATATAAATATATAAATTAGAGGCTCGTGAAAATTACTAACTAGTAATGTATACGAAGATTTAATTTTAAATTTTTATCATCGGTGATAGTCAATGTTGTTTCAACTTGATGCTCGGACTTATTTGGTGAATTAATAACAGCCAATTCGGATTCCTTGAAAGCTTTAATTAATATATAGCGTCAGTGAGTAGTTAACTATTGCATTATATCAGAATAAACACATTTCAAACCTGTATCTATGATTTCTTCTATCTTAAGAAGCAATAAGTGGTTCGATTCAATAAGATGAAGCGAAGTTACTTGTCCCTTTTCTAACCGATTTCCTGGCAAAACTTGCTTAATAGTCTGGTCATTTATTTGAAACACAATATCATAAGGTAACAAATTTTCGATTTGAATCGGTGCATTTAAACTGATGGCCATACAAGGATATTCTCTATAATGACAAGGCTTCATCAATTAATGCTCTGGACGAAATAGAGAAAGTAATTAATAGCAATTTATATAAATCTTACTTGTTAAGAGGATTTTTCTTTTGGTGTCGAGAAAATACTTGAAACCGGAATGGGACATTGTCCTGAATAGAATGACATGAAACTGAAGTTACAGGATCCTTTTTCAAAAAATCTTTCCAATAGAGACTCTGGAGACTCCAATTATAGCCAAATCCGCCTGTAAAATTGGTAAATTGAAAATTAAAGTAATACTAGTAAGAGTAGTCAAAATAGCTTTTTTTTAGTACAATTCATGATGTTCGCACCATCAGGTCTAATTTTGAATCTGTGATAATATGCAGCTTCGATTGGAATTGGACAATCCTCCCCAGATCCTGAAATTATTATAATCAGTAAATGTTACAATGTTTACGTTCTACGTGTAAATCATTAATGAATATTAGCAGTAATATTATTACCTATTTGATAAACTTTTGATACACGATCACCAGAATTATCAACAACTAATAATTCTACAGTTAAGTTTGTATGGTTCTCAACGACAAGTGCTGATCGGAAAGTAACAACTTTAATATTATCTACTAGTTTCACATCAACCACCAGTCGGTGATAAATCTCATTTAATTTTGGACGTAAAATATAAATATTCTCTCCCTCTCTATCAACAGGAATATCATTAATACATTCCCAATTGGAACCTTCAAATTGAATTCCAAGCATATTTTTTGTTACAGTCATCGACTATGTGTAAATTAAAATCAAATTTATTGTAATTGTAACCTTATATAAAGGAACAAATCCACTTATGTCAAAGTAACGCAAACCTCACGCATTTTACGCCAGTCATCAAACCTCCAATCTAATTCCTGACCATCATTCATTTTTTTTAATTCAGTGTCCTTAGCATCATCAGACGAAATTGCCCAAACGTTCAAATTATAGCCAGTTTTATTTCTCAATTTATATGGTGCCCTGGAGCCTCTAGCAGTAGTCGATAAATGCTACCATGTATGCAATAATTAATGTAAAAATAAAATAAAAAAAGATATTAAACAATATACGACCCACAGAAATAAGGTTACTAACCTCAGATTCTTGATTAATTATTGAAAGAGTAGTCAACATGGTTTCCAAAAAAATATGGGTAATATTTACTTCTAATCTTTTTAGTGAAGTAATATCAATTACCATACTTTCTGGAACCGTTTGTTTTAAAGCCTTTAATATGGCAAGTAAAGTTAGATAAATCACAATGAAACAACATTATTAAAATTGCTACATACATGAAGACTATATTGCCAAGGTTCAATCAGTGGCTCCCAATGCGAATTGGTAAGATTAAAATAATTAACATAAGTAGAAACAGCGACATCAACGCTAAGCTAAAATGGAGTTGTTAAAAACGCATAGTTAACATACAATATGAATTAAATTTACTAAGTTATGATCAAATCAAACCTGTGACGACCAATCTACAATCTCGATATCAATTTTGTTACAACTGCCGTCGATCATTGGTATGTCATGTTCGTCACCAATTAAAATGAGCCTTGCACCTTTTAATTTCACCTTAAGCTATATAAATTGTTAAAAGAATAATCGTGATAAAATTGGTTTATAAATCTAAATGAATGATTTACCGATTCCCTAGTCACAATTGGACTTAACCGATTTTTAGATGAGTTACTGCCTTTTTTAGTTGTAGTTAAAGTATTATAATTGAATGACCGTGATGGTGTGCTAATAGGTTGCATATCATTCGTAGAAGTCTCGGTTATTGTTTCAGGTTTCTTTGATGGAGGTGGAGATGAAGATTGAGAAGATAACTCTGACACTTTATTAACAATGGATACAATAAGAAGGACGTCTCTATAAGACACCCTCAAAATGAGAGGGCCAACATCAATATTAATGTCCGTGAGTTGCTGTTCTGGTTTTGAGGATTTAGTTTCCATCGTTAGTGATAAATCAAAGTTATCAATGAATCGTAGGAGAGTAGATTCTCTTTTATCCATTTGACATAAAAACATCCCAACTTGATCAACATTCAGTACCATTGCGCTTTGTTGTACAAGAACCAGTTTCTGTGCAGAAAGGACAACTGCATCGCTACTAGCTAGATGAGGATTAGCCAACAACATTATTTCAACAGAATCGATTTCCACTTGGTAACTTAATGTGGTAGTTGGTTTTGGCTGTTCAACTACCGGTCTTGGTGGTAACATCGGAGGTTGGGTTGTTGTCGGTGAAGTTTTAGGTCTTGGAGGTTTCAAAGGAGGCGAAGTCTCGGGTGACTGTGCTTGTGTAATGCTCTCGTTAGATGAAGCTGATGTCTCAAAAGCACTCATGAAATAGTTACGAGTAGCGAATAAATGATCCAATGTTAAAATTATTTTAGGACTAATAACTTTAACAATAGCAACAATGTTTTTTTCAGAGTCCCCGGATGTTGTAAGTTCAATAACGAATTGTGGTTTACCAGCATTAGCTGCAGGTAAAATTTCTCGATAAATATTTTTAATATTTGGACGTGTGTCATTTAAAGTGAAAGATTGAATTCGAAGTTCTGCGTTCATTGAATTATCACTTTTCATCTTGTATCCGACTTTGGTTTGATTAAGTGAAAATCTCGACAAACTTGAAGCATCTAACGCCTTGTCTCCGGAGCCATCATCAGTAAAAATTTCTAAATAGATTTGATTCACTTCAAAATCAAGACTAATTGTTGTCCATGGATTCCCTTCAACTTCTACCTTTGAAGGAATATCCTTAGCATTAGAAATGATGGATGATCTACTTTGAGGATAAGTTTGAATAGAATCAACCGTTTTCTTTTTTGTTGGAGTAGGGGCCTGCTCGCTAGGGCCGCTAAATGCTCGAGAAACAATATTTGAAAGATCGAACAAGAACTTGTACTGCCTTTCGGTTAAATTCATTCGAACATCTGACATATTTCCGATTATCTTTAATAAAATATTTAAACATCAATTTTCGAAAAGTAACGTTACAGAGATAATCATTAACTTTACCTTCATATCAGGCCCTTCCGAACCTTCAACATGCTCTGCATATGAAATTTTAAAATTAATATCTACATCATTAATAATTTGGAGAATTTGTGGCGAAGAATTTGGAATTATAAAATTAGAAGTTAAGCTAATTTTTTGGAGTTCAGCTGTGATTCGAGTAAGATAACTATTATTTCCATCTTTTGATTCAAATTCATTAGATGCCGAAAATTCACCAAGATTTGCGATAACCACATCCTTAGTATTAACATCGTGGGGGAATACAACAATAGGTGAGCGAATACTAATATCAAAATGAAACTTTGAAGCTTTCTCTTGCAATTGTACAGCTTGTGATACTGCCGCCCTACGAGCGGAATCATAAAGTCCTTTCATTTGAGCAAATTTACTTCCGAAATCGAGCAAAAGGCGAATAGGCTCTTCAAGAAAAGTTAGTTTTGCTGATCCAGTACGTAAAGAAACCGATGACTCATAACCAGGAAATCTAGGTGCTGATTCATCATAGGTTTCATAGTGAAAAACAGCCAAATCTTCTCCTTGTAATGTAAGTAATTGTCGTAATGATTCGTCACTATTCGGTCCCGCCATATCATCGGATAAAGAAAAACTTCCCAATCTAGCGGCGACACGAATAGTATTTTGACGTAACAACACTGCTACATCCGCATGATACAATAATCCTGTTGCAAGCCGGACTCCATCATTATTTAAAATGAATCTTATACTACTGAGTCTTACTTTGACACGCATTGTTGATGTTTGGGATGCCTGTGGCTTTTGGGATTCTGGTAGAGTAGGTGTTTCAGTTTCTATACTTGACTGTGAGGAGGCCGGTTCGGCTGAAGAAGTAAATGTGTCCAAAACAAAGTTATACAATGTCAATATGCTTTTACGTGTCACAATTATATTTATTGTCGACATCTCGATATCAACGCTTTGGCTAATTCCTTCATATTTGGACATATATTCGGGTGATTTCGTATTAACCCTTGTGTATTTGACATGTACAAGATCTTTAGAATCATCAGCTTGAGCATTTCCATATCCTTCAGATGCAGCCAAATGTTTAAATTCTGATCCTGTATCAGACATTTTATCTTCAATGTTAAGAGATTTAAGCACCACTTCTGCCGACATGTCGAACGGACGAAGCACATAAGTCAAACCAAAATGCTCCAAAACCATATCAACTAGGACAACTTCTGGTTTGTCAACATCCGAATCCGCTTTTTTAAGCGTAGTTGAAAATTTATCCACCCTGAATTCAAATTCAAATATTCTTTGATTTAGTTTTGCCGTACTTGAGACCTTTAACGTTAAATAAAGCTATTAAAGTTCCGCAAACGTAGTATAGCCACAACAAATAAAGAAAAAAAAATTACATACGTCTGTATCTTGCGCATCAAAAAATTCTTCATTATGTTCCTCGGGGACATCGTCATCACTACTTTCACTATCAATTAATACTAAATCATGGGCTTTACCCAAACCTAACTTAGCAATCATATTATTGTCTATATGTCTGGCACGTTCCCAACCTCTACTTTTCGAGTTCTTGTTCTCCTTTAGAAGTTCGTTAGCTGCTTTAGCTATCGACATCTTTTCAGATAAATCTACATTAGGCAATTCTGGCTTAGGCTCTTCTTTTGTATTCGATGATGAAGTTACAGTATCAATAATGCCCATAATTATTTTATATTTTCTGTCGGAAAAATTTGTTTTTAAAAGCGGTAAATGTCCAGAAACTCGATATTTAGTGAGGTTATAAGCCCGTGGCAAAATTGACATTTCAACAAGAAATTGTAAATTTATTCGGTCTATAACGTGAAGATCATATTTAGGATTGGAGTCACGAATCTGAGCTAGGCAACGCTCGACTGATTGACCAACGAGAAGCTATAATGTTTATATTGAAAATTATTTAATATGATACGATTGTGTATAATGTATGCTGTAGTTGTTAATTTTTTCTATGATCAAAAAATATACCTGTGTAGATGAGAGCTGCACTGAAAAACGATCATACATTAATGATTCTAATCGCTTGTAATCAGCCTCACTATAGCTTGTCTTAACCTTGGATTGTATTTCTTCTTTATCAGCTTTGCTAACAAGCTTACTTTCTACTCTAATATGTCCAGAATCTAGCACAATTACTTCAGTATCTGGTTGCGTACAGCTTTTAGGGACAATGATAATCGGGGCATTCATATCAACTTCAACGTCAATAGTTTTATGCTCCTCCAATTTCATTTCTAGAACAGCCCTTGTTTGTGCTTTGAGTCCTTCAAATGTATCACCTGCCGCTTCCTAAAAAAAAACTTTCTTAGAAAAAAAATACTATAGAACAATATTTTTAAGTTGTAAGTAATCCATACAATTAAAGCAGTAATGGTCTCCAATTGTTGCTCTGGAGGCGTGAAAAACTCGGTAACAGCTTCAATAGCATTTTGGTTATAAATAATTTCCAAATGCCTCATTTTCATCGAAAGGCCATTATCAGCGCGACCATCCAAAGGATTATGTTCAAATACGAGTTGAAAGAATGGATTATTCGATGATTCATCATGAGTAATATTACTTGCACGATTATTCTTTGTTAAATCCTCATCATTCTGTTTTGTAATAAAATCTTCCTTCACCCTCACTATTTGTGGATATAAAGTACCCTCAGTGGAACCATCATGCACACTTAAACTTCCTAATACAGTTTCTGCCTGAAAAGAATCAGGCCGTTGGAGAAATTTTGTAGCCACTGTATCAAAAATTAAAGATAAAATTTCTGTACTCTTTCCATGAGGATTTTTCTTTAATACAAATGAACCAGTCTTAAGTTCTGTCTTGAATAAAAGTTTTGTCCACTAATAATGAAAATTTGATAAATATGAGATTTATAAATGCGTATATTAAACAACAGAGAATCTGCTAAAAGAATGATGTTAATAACCTCTTTAGGTAATTCAATGACTTCTGGGGCTGCCTCAGATTCATCATATTCGATAGCTTCATACAATTCTTGGAGCTGTTCGTCGGTCCAAATAGTATCATTATCCGAAGACTAATAATGTATTTAAATGTTTAGTTTTCAATAAACTAATACTAATCAATATAAATGCATAAATGAAAAACATCTTACGCCCGTCGATTGTCCGCTATACCACCAACCACTAAACCAACCAGTACTTTTTACTTGTTGTTGTTGCTCCCTTTGTTTCTTGGCTAAAATCAATTGAGGTATAATCAATTATCGTTCATATAATATAAAACTTCAAATTACCATAAACGAACCTATCAATGCCCTTTCCTTCTTTAATTGTGATTTAGCAATCGACCTATAAAATAGGATATCTTCGTAGCTAAGTTTGCACTCTAAAGCTTCTAACTTGGATGCATTCTAAAAAATAAATAAATAAACAATATATACGTAAACAAGAAAAAAAAAGGAATAGGAAATTACTTATGCAAATTTAGGCAAAAAAATAAAAACCTCTGACGTTATTGTTTCAAGCTGCTTTTCTTTATATAACTTTACATAGTTATGTCGATCATCACGGCGTTCTGCAAAGTATTCCCACGTCAATTTGCGATTGCGTTCCCGAATTTCCGAAATAATGCAATTTCCAGCAAATTGAAGCCATGCTCTTGGATCTTTTTTAGGAGTAACATCTTTTGGAGGCCTGAATTTTCGATACTATGCAATTTGATATTTTCATTATGCGGTTTTTCTTTGATTTGCGTTTGATCATACCAGAAACTAATTAACCAATTTTTTATACCTGTTGTTGTCGTAAATAAAAATGAAACAAATCAGCCATTAGCAGTGCATTTCTGTATTGTTCATCATCCAAGATAAATCCAAGTTCATCAAATAAAAGGATAGCTGTAGTTTTTGGAGTATTTAATTCAAAATGCTTATTCAGTGTTATCTAAAAAAATAAAAAATAATCTAAATTACTCGAATTTTCAACTATGAAACTAAAGTTTTATTAAAACGAAACATACACGTCCAGTTCCAGAAACTGGTTTCAATATATATTGATGTTCAGATGGAATGTTTTGTTCGGATGCGATCTGGATGATAGAAATGATATATTAATATAATTTATGGAAATTGAAATAAAATATTTGTTATAATAATCTATAAAGATTTTTACCAAGCTGTTAAATAATTTAATAGATTCTTTTGTGGGATGTCCGGAAATGGATTTTGAATCAGTATTCCAGTATACGGCCAAAGATCCTAATTTGATTAACTGATGTATTTATGAATTTCAACGACAGTTATATGCGAATTGATATGCTAAATCGCAAATAACATAAATAGAACACCAATATTCTTACTTTATTTATTGAACTTGTTTCTCCTTCGATAAATGCAGGTTCCCAATTTGAATTAGTTGATACAGCAGAGAATTCTGACAAAGTAAGTCCAACAGCAAATGGGTGCTAAATTATCATATGGATCAATTGAATTAATAGTTCGAATAAGCGCGTAATCAAGAAATATGAATGAACACTGAAAGGGATAAACACCCCTGGATCACTTAATTTATCTTCATAACGAATGTGAATATTATTAATAGAAATCTGCAAGTTATCGACAATTTTCGTGACGAGTTTGGTTACAAATGATTGGTTTTTTTGATCATCCTCTTTTGAAAAATGTTATATAGAATTGACATAAATATGAAGTATTTAAAACTGGTAAAAAGAAAAAATATTTTAGGAATCAAACCTTCAGTTATCTCACTGGGGGCTGTGTGAAGAATTTCTGCATTTGCTAATTGTTCTTGTTTAACTTGTTGAGCTCGTTTCTCATCTTCTTCAGGATCGTACTTTTTAAATTCAAATGAAATCATTGTATGACTGATAATGACGCGAAATTCATAAATCAACCTAAAATTATTTACCTCAGATTCAGCCTTTGGTACCGCTAAGAGAAAGACATCATTTATGACAACTTTAACAGGCTTATTCTTTAAATTTGACCAGGGGATATTTAAAGTAAGTTCTCCCAAATATCCTGATGCATGAGAACATAAAGCATTACAAATTGTTATAGTCTGCAAAACCAACATTTATTTATATTGTCATACCTTCTAAAACGTCAATTGGCAAGTTGAATTTGTCAAGTGCTTCTTTTTTGAGTTGTAAATCTCTCAAGACCACGTCACCTTTAAAGAGCATATACGTAAGTTCAGTAATTCTGGTAATTCTAGCCAGTAAGAAAATTTGATTTACCTTTCCATATTGCAATATTTAGATTGCCTTCAAGATTGGAGACATAATCTCCAAGAAAGCGATTCAAAACGGTCGTTGCCAGAGATTCGAGCATAATATGGAATTAAAAGAATTAATTATTAAAAGAATTAAATAAAGGGAGAAGTTCTACGTTAGCGTTAATCATGTGTAATAGTTTTATCGCTGATAATCGAAATCACATGAGCATTATTACAGAAACTAAATTTACCCTAAACTTGGGGTATTAGCACATCATAATGACGTTATGGTAATGAATTTTTATTGATCTATTGTATATAAATTTGGTAGTTTAGGGTATATAAATCTGGTATTCTAGGTAAGTCTCTAAATTGTGTGGATGACTTTTTACCGGCTTGTTCAGCTTTGATACTCAGTCTACGTAGTTACTCAGTCTAGTATGGCTACCTTTTTTACTATGTTGTTGGCAAATTTTCTAGACGAGATCGCGACTGATATTTTTTTACAGTTCGTGAAATATAAAAAAATTAGGGGCTGTAAATAATCAACCCCTTGAGTTAAAATTAATTTTTTACATGTGTGCGTTGAACATAAAGATATGCATTTCATAATAACCTAATCAAGCTTTCATAATGTCATCCGCATTCAACATGACCTCATACAAATAAATTCTGGTTTCATTGTAGGTCAAAAGTGGCGAAATCAATTTAAAAGAAATCGGTTACGCAAATTAAAACACTAACGTAAGTATATTAACTCTGTATATCGATGTTGATTGAACTTTGACATCAGCCAACAATATATATCTACATTCATGATTAGGAAACAAAACTTGTCGTAAGCCCAGAAAAATCTATTCCCCTTTAGATGACTATTATTCATTTCGCGAGTAATACAAACGCAAAAAAACGTTTTTTTTTTTTTTTTAAGCAGTGTAAAATCAATTGAATTGACAATTCGGGTTTGGCGATATGTAAACGTAAATCTTCGGTCCAATAAAATCATTGTTATTTGCGTCTGCAAAAAAGATTTTTAAGAAGTTTATTATCACTCAATTTAGGGATGTTATGTGGCCTGGTCTAAATTAATACGTAGGCCACAGTTAGTCTTAAGGCTGGTATTAAGACTAGACCAGACCAGTCTGAACCGGCTAGCTCTTAAGACTGTGGACTATTTAAACAGGACAAGGCTGGACTGTTTACAACCTTAGCACAATTCATATAAAATGACTTGTAAAGCAGGGCTTGCCGCAGCAGAAAGTTGGCGAGCATAGGACAAAAGCCTTTGGACATATATTTGGACTTTTGGGGAATCTTTGCTAGTAACATCCTTCGACGTTTTCCGATCGGGATAATTCGGACAACTTAACCCAACATCCGGCATTTTGCCTTTGATTCAATAAAATTTTACATGTAAATGAGAACCAGTATGGTCTAATAAATTTGTCGGTCAAAAATGTCGGAGGGTGATTTTCCTAGTAAAGACCCCAGCTTATAGTTAAACAACGCGATTAACCGCTAGCACCCTAATTTTATTAAATGACTTATTTTAATTTTCATGCTTATCATTATTTCCGTATTTTAATGTTCTAAGCAAAAATATTCAGAATTTAAGAAAATATATATTTATATTAATAATTATTGAAATTTGGACATTTGGACAGAACATAGAAAAAGATTGACGCTACCCCTGAGAACGGGGTAAAGACGCTCCACCACTACTGGGATTAAAATACATCTATGGTCACGTGAAATGTCAACAGGTATAAACAGGAGGTATACATAAACAAATTAATAGTCTCTCACGTTTTTTTTATCTGAAATTTCGCGTTTCTCTTATCGCATTTTTAGGTCTGAAACAATGTCGTCTTCCGAAGAGAGGAAGAGAAAGCTTGAGGAATTAGCAGAAAAAGCTAGGGCAAAAGCCAAAGTCGCTGAACTGTACGTTCGAATTCTTTCGTGAAATTCGATTGTTTGGAAGCCTAGGCTCCGTCAATCATTAATTACAAGTAATATTGAACTAAGTAATTTAATAATTTGAATCGTCTTCAAATATAATAAAATATAATAACAAAGCGAGGAACAGGAAGAACGCAAGGAATCTGCAAAAAAAGCAAAGGCACATTCCAGAAGCTCTCCAAAAATTAAGAAAACGAATGTATCTTCTTCTAGCTCTTCCCCGGCAAAAAGCAAATCTCTTCCTCCTTTAGGAGGAGGTGGAAGAGCTGCACGTCAGGACGAATATGAAGACGATGGATTCATTGTGGATGATGAGGGTTAGTGTAAATTTTAGGTTGAATACAAAAAAGGTTAACTACTCATATTATGTATATTTTATTAGACGTATCTGTATCAGAAAGTAAATCTGATTCTGAAGATTTTGATGTAGCTGATGACCCTGATTCAAGTGATCCTGGATCAAAAAAAAAGAAAAAAGTCGCGTCTTCAACGAAACACAAACAATCAAGCAACAGTAACAAAAAAGTAAGCAATAATGATTTCACAAATACTATGTAAATTTGTATACACATATATATTAAATACTGTCTCTTTAATGGTGATTTGTGTACCGAATTGAACTTTTTGAAGGTGACAAAACGAAAGAAAGATGAAGCATCTGATGATGATGAAATCGTAGTAAAAAAGAAATCTAATAAAAAAAAGAAGCGTAATGATGACGATTCATTTGACGAAGGCTCTGCTGATGGTGATGACTCAGATGATTTAAGTAAGTTTATATTTGATCCTTATCTCTTTTATATAATATTTATTTATCTTATTTATCTTTCAATTTAGAGCATGAACTCGAGGGCCTTGATACCTCTACAATTATTCCAGGACGAAGAACAAGAGGGAAACGAATAGATTTTACAGGACAAGTAAATAATAAAAATTAATCTACTAATGTTTATTATGGCACATTTATTCAAAAAAAATTTTTTTCTTTAATACGATATAGGATCCATATGATGATGATTGATCATTGGGACTGCTACCCAAACCTTTTTTTGAATTACATAATTTGGGTTTGGAAATCGGGTTTCTACTTCATTCAGGATAATAACCAAAACCCAAATATATGTCCCATCTTCACTTAACGGTATAAGCTCAAAAATCGATCAAATTTATTGAATCAATGCTATAAATTATTAAAATTCGTTTTCATTTTCAAATTAAGAACCTAAAAATGATTTAGTTAAATAAATTGGTATGCTAGGTCTAATAGTTATACCATGTATAAAATAAGTGAAAATGAAAACAATTATAAAAGTGAAGGATTTCACACCAAAAATAAAACTTTGAATTATAAATAATAAACTCTAAGTTTTCAATATTTGAGAAGTGCCTGAAAAAACCTTTAATAAAAATTGGTTCCTTATTAATTATTAAATGAATTAGGCAATGCAAAATTAATTAAGGAGTAGTCCGCAGTTAAAGGGTAATACGACGGGCATTTTACTATAACTTTCATTTAGCGATTGAATGCCGAGAATAAGGAAAAACCCCATAGTAAAAAAGAAAAAAATCTTAATACAGTCAGACCTCTCTACATGCATAGCCATGGGACGGCAAAAAATCTTGCATTTAGAGAGGTATTGCATTTAGGGAGGTAAAAATTTATGTCATGAGTTGGGACCATGCATTAGAAAGGTCTTTCATAGACTTGCATTTAGGAAGGTCTGACTGTATCTTGTGATTTACACAACCTTTTATTAACATTAGAATCATAATAACACGTTTTACAACTTTAATTAAAGATTCAAAAGATGTTTACTTAGTAAAAAAAATATACTTTTCATTGTAATGAATCGGCATTTCACTACTATAAAATTTATAAGTTCGACTATGATACTTAGTAATGATTATACTCTTTAACTGCGAACTACCTCTTAATCGATTTTCATAACCCGGCCAGGTCAAAATTTGAAACCTTGTAAAAAAAAATTTTTTTCTATGTTTTATAATAAGGTTATACAAATTTAATAAATTGGATCTCATAACTACGTATAAAGTTTTTCAAACAAAACTACGTATACATTCAATCTTCATGCAGTTAATAATCGAAATGATAACAATAAATCATCAGACTAATCAAAATTAAATAAGGTGTCCAAGTTAAATTTGGTGCCTCTATTTAAGGTTTAACTTCGCATATGCTCTAATTTAAACGCACTGCAACATTGTGATGCTAACCTTTGTTATATATAGTTTATAACCATGATGATGTCACCCGATACTATTGGTAGGATAGCTATACGTATATTCATTATAATAAGCGTTGCTTTTATATTGAGTTAATAAAGATAAAAGCATAACCTTATTATTAATATTAAAAAAAAAAATCAAAAAGATCATTTTAATATCAAAAAAAATAATATATAAAATATTATTACAAAATATAATCTTTAATAATAATAATAAAATATATATATATATATGGTGCTGGAAGCCTATACTCAACAGTTACACGAAGTGTTTCAAAATTTTAAATGACTAACTTTTTATCTAAGAGGTTTTAAAAAAATCCACCTGGTAACTTTATAGAACCATATCAGCTCTACATATGTGCCAAATATCTTTTCAAAATCTCATCACTGTAAAGAGTTGATGCTTTTTGAAAATTGAAATTTTATATATAAATTTATATATTTACATATAAAATTTCAATTTTCAAAAAGCATCAACTCTTTACAATGATGAGATTTTGAAAAGATATTTGGCACATATGTAGAGCTAATATGGCTCTATAAAGTTACCAGGTGGATTTTTTTAAAACCTCTTAGATAAAAAGTTATAGTCATTTAAATTTTTGAAACATTTCGTATAACTGTTGAGTATAGGCTTCCAGCACCATATTTATAATATAAAATATAATGACTTAAAGTAGTTAATAAATTGTTACAGATTTAATATTCAATAAGATTATTAATAAATTGAATTGGGTTAAGTTGGGCTAAACAACTTCTTAATTCACTCCAATTTGGATTAGATTCATTTTGAAATCATTTCAAGTTTGCTTAAAATTGCTCCAGTTCACTCCAAATTTTTAAATATATCTTTAACTTGAATTAAACTTACTCTGAAATAACTCTGAAGTATGCTACTTCATTAACAACTCTAGTATTTAAATCTCACTTATGATAAAATTTGAAAATTATACCTATGTTATAATAAACTGTCTTTTGATAATCAATTAGATTAATGCATCCGTAATCTTAGATACATCAACTCAATAAAAAACTCAAATATCTATGCAAAGTGTAATATTACATATATATAAAGAAATGTTAAAACTGAAGTTATGTAAAGCTTAGTACAAACTTATAATAAGATCTCTAGTTATAGATTACTATGATAACTATGGCTTGCTTCTAAATAAAAGTTTTCAGCTCAAATTTTAGTTAAATGAGTAGATTTAAGTATCGAACATCAAATAAATTAATCTTTATACTCTTGATTTGGTGATCGACATAACTTGTACAGATTTCAGACGTGCATTGAATGAATACCTTGTGACCTAGTTCCGAATTGATTTTGGTACCATTCGATTCGTCTCATCGAGACGAATCGAATGGTATCAATTTACACCACTAAGTAGGTTATATTTGCGATGGCGAATCGATTTTTTTTAAGGTTTAGAATTCAATACTGTCACGTGCTGCGTAATATTGATATATAATTTATGACATTCAGTCTCGTCTGCTGTATGGTATAATAGTGTCTTTCACGAAGACGCATGGAAGACGATTCTCTCTTCCAATCTCATCGCTCAGCAACTACGCCGTCAACACCGGCACCTCGCAGACAACGTAGCCTACCTCCGAGTCTACCTTCCTTCGATACCTCTTTTCACCGCACGTTACATTCGCGCATATCAAACAAGCACCATGGTATAACTCGTGCGAAAGTAAAAGTTGCTATCGAACTTGAACTAAGGGAAGAAAGGCTAAAGGAGGCTTCTGCGCGTGGTGATTGTAATACCGGTATCAGTAGCTTTGCTTGCTTTATTTTCGAAATCAGAGATCGTTTATCTCAATCAGTTTGCCATGGTACCGTTTTCAGGACTTTATTAATATTCATTTAATAATTTCTATCATGCAGTTATTAAATTACTTTCTACTACACCGCAGCCTGATATTAACAGTGCAGATGAGAAAGGTAGAACACCTTTACATTTCGCTTGCGCTGGTGGATATAACGATTGTGTCAAGCTATTAATCGAACGTGGCGCAAATGTTAATGCGGAAGCAGATATTGCCGGAAATAGACCATTACATTTGGGTAATCTAATAACCAATTTTTGCTCTCTTGCGAATACATTAATTACAATTTTTCTTTAAACCTTCATATTAGCTGTCATCTCCAATAAAATGGATTGCGTGATAGCATTATTAGAAGCAGGTAAGGAAAATATATTCGACATTACGTACTTGTTATCGTTATTATTTGGGTTTCTCCAACGAAATACCATACTTTGGGTAAATAATTTAGGCGCAAGGATAAATATGAATGATGCATTTCATCGTACACCATTGTCGGTTGCAAGATCGCGCCTTAATATTTTAATGAAGAATATCGAATCTGCTAACGTAGATGTTGAAGAAATGGCGGAAGATAATGAAAATATACCTGAAAATCGGGAAATTTTTGTGCAGGTTTTACAGGTAACAATATATTTGTATTAATATGGGAATGGATATAATTACCTTAATGATAATTTTATGTACTTTTCACTTTGATTATACTTTTTCATTTGTTGTTTGTAATTTGTTGTTTGTAGATTATCAAAATTTTACGACATTATCTATCAATAGAAAGCCGAGAATATAATAATATTCAAGATACAAGAGATAATGCTAAAATTATAGGTTCAGTCGATACTTCTAGTGCTGGAAACGAACCTATGATAATTTCCAATACAGAATCAGCAACAAATGCTATGGAAGCCTTAGATGATTTGACTTCTCAATTATCACAAATGGCCATTTCAACTTCAAAGCTTGAAAATTCAAATAATGACAGTGTTATAAAAAGCCCATCAGTAAATCAATATATGATACCTGATTCGGTCGTCTTGAACAAGGTTCAAAATGTTCTTGATAACATAATCAAATATCAGACATAAAAATTTGTGAGGCTTTAATTTTAAGTGTTTGACGATGTACTTGTCGCAATTCTATTGGTTCCAGGGTATATAATATAGTGAGGCTTATGTATGCTATTTTGTGTACAATCATAGATTTAAAATTCGAAATACAGAATAATACAGATAATAATTCCGCTATTAAGCATATAAAGTTTATTGTCGGTCTTTGTCCACCATTACTTATTATTGACAAAAATTTAAGGTTTGGATAAAAATCTAGAGATAATTTATAAATAATAAATGCTATGTTTTTCTATCTACATAATTCAATTTCATGCGATCTTTTTTTACTTCGGAACATTACACGACAATGTTTTATCTTTTTTTTTTAATTTATTATTTATATGTAAAATAAAATAACAAAATGTGAGCGAGGTCAGTGGAGTCTCTAGATTTATAATTTAATTTAATTTATTAGTGGCAGATTTAATTTTGAGATAAAAACCGACTAAGCCGGCTTAGCTGTATCGACTCGGCTAAGGTTATACGTTTTTAATCGGCTACAATCACTAGCGTATGCTAAGATCCATTTAGTATTTGTAAGAGTGTATTTGAGCGCCTTTGTCCAGGTATCAAATTGGTTAAATTGTAGTCTTATTGACACCTCACCAATTTTATCCTTATTAATCCTAGATGAAGTAAATTGCCATTAGTTTCATGAGATTCTAAAGAGGCTATTAAATAATCAAATTTATTGTAATTACCGATATGGTAATTTGAAATTACATTCTTGACTCTCAGCGTAATCACCCAACTGTTGTAAACAGTTTAAAAAGGCAACCATTGCGTGGTCAAAACGACGATATAAGAACAGTCTTCCTATCGCTACATCTCCTGAGCTATACCTAAAATATGGTAGAGTATATATCGTAAATGAAGTAATAAAAATGGTTATTTAAAATAATGACTTACAGTTCGTATATAGATTTCTTGTCACCATCAATATGTTCAATCTTTGAAAAAGAACCCAACGGAATTAATCGATAACTAAAGTATTTCTGCTAGTTAGTCAATATAGATATTTTTTTTGACTTTTTTTTTTTTTAAAAAAAAAGGGAAAGTAGCATACTTTTTGAACGTGAAATTAAGTTTGTTAGCAATGGTTGCCAGTAATAAGAGTGTTTGTCCCCAGGCTGCGTTAATTTCATTCCAATCAACCTTATTATTTATTAGAAAATGAACATTATTTTCGCTTAATTTTCATACTTTAATTTTTAAGGTTGAAAGTAAAAATCATGATATTATACCATCATGTCTGGCAAACGACCAAGTCTAAACCCGTTAATAGTTCCAAAATGACCATCATGACTAATCCAGAAAGTGTCATTATATACATTGGTCCTTTGAAGTTTTTCCAATTGTTTTGCATCATGATCATATTTTAAATTGACACTATCTCTCTCATTTTGAAAAGCTTGTAGTTGAATATGAAAATCATTGAATTCCTGCCAATAACTAAAATTTACAAATTTAAAATAACATAAATACATAAAATACTTTTCTCAGCAATTAACAATGGCATGAATATGTTCATATACCTTTCCTCGAGCTTATCAAGTTCTCTGGTCTCTTCTTCCAATGCGGCTAATTCTTTTTTTAATGTATCACGTTCACTTTCTATTTCTTTTAATGTTTTAATAGCAGCCAATTCACTGGATCGTATCTGTCGAGAACTTTACAATTAATATTAATTTGATAAATATTCAATAATTTGTTTGCTTTTAATACTACCTCTTGAATTTCTTTTTGCAAACTCTCTTGTTCTGCGTCACTTATAATGCCGACATTAATTTTCTTTAAAAAATCTATATAACAATCTCTTTCTCGAGATGCATCACTCAATTGTTTGCTCAAACTATCCAAAAGCATATCAGTACATTCCTGACACATTGGATGATCTATTTCGGACCTAGATGACATAAGGTCAAAAAGACGGTTGGCGACTTTAAGTCTATAACTAAGACTAGCTCTTTGTCTGTCATCGCTGTTCGTGTCTATAGTACCATGTTCTGGTGATACTTGGTTGTTCAGAGGCTGTGCTACTTGCGAACGAGATAACATTACATAAGATTCTGATGGTAATAAGAAAGATTCTTTAGTACTGATCTCTCTGTTTGGAGATCGAGATAATCCAAGATTCTTTGATCCTGATCGTTTTCTCGGTACGGAAATCCCATTCTGGTCGATGTTATTTGATTGCTTAGAATTTCTATTAATTTCTACAGTTTCAGATCGTCGGTTTACTGTCGATGAGTCTGATGTACGAATGACCTCTTCAGGAAGTGGTGCTAAGCAAATTTGTTTGGTGTTCGGTTAGGTTCGAAGCAACTGATATATTGTTAAATTTAAAAATCATATACTACCTAGTAAGATATCAATTGAAGTTGAGCCAAGATCAGTGAGTGTATCATCAACCCTCAGGGTATGCTTACAACGCTGACATGTAAATACTTGAGCTTGTTCCATATTGAAAAGACTTGTTCCTGAAAAGTGTGTGTACAATGATAATCTTTTTAATTATCACAGTAATACAATCACCATGATCAACCTATCAGGATGTTCTTTATATGAAATAGAATTTTGATCAAATCATTCTTCCCCTCTCTACCCGCTTTTGTCATCTAGCAAGATGGTGAGTTTTTTTTTTTTTTTAATTAATCCATTATATTTAAAATATATTTTATTCACAAACAAGATACATTCAAATCATCGAAATTATCGATGCCATAGAAATTCTGCAAAATGATTAAATTTTAATATAAACTTATATATAATTTTTGACGAATTTGCTTAAAAGATTTTTTTAACAAATTAAACGGTTTAAAATACCACTGATCATTAAAAGAAATCAACATTAGCAATATCATGTCGTATTATATTCTTCGACAGAACCCTTTGAGCCTTGCTAGTCTTTTTTAATTTTTTTTTTTTTTTTTTTTTTTTTGGTTGGCAAATAGTCTGCGGTAAGACCTAAAATCAGTGTTTACTCCGAAACAGGAGATGGATGTCTTGAAGCAATAGAGTTCCCTGCAGTGTTCAAAGCCCCAATTCGACCAGATATTGTGAGATTTGTTCACAAAAATATTTCCAAAAGTAACCGTCAACCTTATGCTGTATCATCAAAAGCTGGCCATCAAACCTCAGCAGAATCTTGGGGTACCGGACGTGCTGTTGCCCGTATTCCTCGCGTTTCTGGTGGAGGTACTCATCGTGCTGGACAGGTTACCAGAGAATTTCCAAATCTATTGATTCTAAAATATGACTGATTAATATTATAATAACCTTATGATATATGAATTATCCTAGGGTGCTTTTGGTAACATGTGTCGTGGTGGTCGCATGTTCGCACCTACAAAAATTTGGCGTAAATGGCATGTCAAAACTAACCTTAATCAAAAACGATTCGCCACTGCATCAGCTTTGGCTGCATCAGCCATTCCGGCTCTGGTTCTGGCACGAGGTCATAGAATTGAAGAAATTCAAGAAATACCACTTGTTATTGGTAACGGTATTGAATCTTTAGCCAAAACCAAAACGGCTGTTCATCTCTTAAAGACAGTTCATGCTTATAGGGATGTAGTTAAAGTTTCTAATTCTCGTAAATTACGAGCTGGTAAAGGCAAACTACGTAATAGACGCCATCGACAACGTAGAGGTCCCTTGATAGTTTATAATGAAGACCATGGTGTTGTTAAAGCTTTTCGCAATATCCCTGGAGTTGAATTGGTTAACGTTAGGAATTTAAATTTATTACAGTTGGCGCCTGGTGGCCATTTGGGTAGATTTGTTATTTGGTCCCAAGGTGCTTTTGCTTTGCTGGACGCCTTGTTTGGAACTTACAAAAAAGCTGCTGATTTGAAAAAGGATTACCGGTATGTTAGTTTCTTAATGGCAATTAAACACATATGATCTGATCATAATAATTATTATCACTTCTTTCACCCTTAATATTATAGTTTACCACAGCACATCGTTTCTAATCCTGACATCACCCGCCTTATCAATTCCAATGAGATCCAACAAGTCCTCCGACCTGCTGGAGAAAAGCATCAAAAACGTCCCTATACTCAAAAGAAAAATCCTCTTCGTAACAATGGTGTGAAGATCCGTTTAAATCCATATGCTAAAGTGTTACAAAGAGCAGAAATCATTGCTGCTGAAAAGCGCAAAGCGGGTAAAGTGAAAAAGAAACGAGTTCAACTCAAAGCTTCAACAAAGGTTTCACCAAAGTAGGATTTTTTATTTTATTTTATTTGTTTTTGTCAACCCATATTAATTTATATACTAAAAAAAAAAATCTTCAAATCCATTTTAAAAAACACACATCTTGTTACTAGATTTGTTAAGATCTTATTGGAAAAGTAAAGTTAACATGATTTAGAATCAAGAAATATTTTCTTTATTACTTATCATCATTCATGTATCGAATTTATGATGACAATCTCGATATTAAAAGAAGAAATTCGAAATGATGTATTGATGCAACAACAATGAGCTATTTCTAACATAGATCTAATATTGGTGTTTTCTTTTTGATTTGAGGCGTATTATGTTTGGTTGATTGTACTGTACTTTGATGATATAGCGTCAAGAAGACTTTTAAATCATCCATTATTGGGCCTAAAATTTCAAAACAGACTCAGTCAATTTTTAAAATTATGATAAAACTTCAAATATCTAATCTGCCGCTAAAATATATAAAAATTCGGGTTATGAAAATTTTAATTTGTAAACAGCCAATTAACAAGTTCAATTTTTGATTATCCCAAGTGCGTGTACTGATAGTTAAATTGATCTTGGTATATTATTTAAATTCCTTTACATATGCAGTTCGATGTATATTTTATTTTAATTGCTATAGTATCAATTTTACAACATATCTCTAGTACTTATAGTATATTTTCACTTTGTTTTCAGATTCCTAATCCAAATAGCCTAGTAGGATTATAACCTGTCTCTGGTATACTAAGTTCAATCTAATATTCTTTTTCTCTAGTCTGATTCTAAAAACCTGATTGGTGATATTCTTTATTTAAAGGTTCTTGTCTATTTAACTCCTTCATATTGGTATTTATTTCCTAGATCTAACCTTTACAGTAGTATATTTTCTAATTTTAAAAGTATAATCATATATAAAATTATGTTTGTTTAGAAGACAAAAATAGATTATATTAATAAAAAAGCAAGTTAACTATATATATTAAAATTAAAATTTTTAATTTATCTACTATATGTACAACTTTTTTTTTACTAAAAAAACCTATCTTTACCTTCTAAATAAACTTAACAAAATTTTATATATAAATATTTGTTAAAATATATTTTTTCAGACCTTTTTATAAAGTAAAAAATTAATGTTGGTAAGATGAAAATAAGTTTTTTTAATATGTAAAAAAAAAATTGTATATATATAAACTAAAATTTTTAACTTTAGACTTTAGTATATAACTAAACTTATATATTTTTTATTAGAATAACCTTCTAAGTAAATATGTTCAGCGTACAATTTACATATAATTACATTTTTAAAATTAATATATATATATATATATTTTATAAAATTTACAATTTTTTAAATAACTTTGATATACTATCTTCGATATGCTTAACTCTAAAATATAAAATTAATATGTAAGTTGAAAATAATGTGAGGTTTAAAGTTTATAGTAAATTTATATGTTTTTATAAATAACGCGAATAAAAGATATAATATACCGTAGTCATTTGGAACATTAAAATCCTTTGTATTTACTAGATAAATTAACATAATAAATAAGAAGCAAGTACTAAATATTCATGAACTTAAATAGCTTATTTAAACGATCAATCAAAATTATATTTTGTGTGAATCCAACATGGCAAACATTCTCAAAGTAAAAATGAAATTCAAAACGAAAGTCAAAGAGAAGGTCTAAGTCAAAACGAAAGTCATAATGAAAGCCAAAATGTAAGTTAAGGCAAAAGTCAAAGCAAAGGAGAGTCAAAGCGAAAGTTAATATCAAAACGAAAATTAACGTGAAGTCAAGCAAGAGTCAAAATGAAAGTCAAAGTCAAAACGAAAATCGAAGTAAAAATCTAATGTTTATCATTACTGTATTAAGCATGATAGACGTAACTTTACCGGCAATTAGTTTTCTGAGCGATGTAAGTCTTGTAGCTTAATCTCCTAGTATAGCTCGGAGACAGGTTCTTATTTGTAATGATTTTTTATTTTGGCCGCTACTTGTAAGAATTTTTATTTTGGGCCCTCATCTATAATTATTTTCATTTTTGGGCCTCTATGTGTAAATTTTCTCTAGATATGTTTATAAAATAATACACATATATCAACAGGTGTGACATATGGGTCTGTGCCTTGAAATGACCTTAAGAAACTATGTAGATTTTATGAATAAAAATTAAAAATTTCTAGTCATCCAGTAATCCAATTCAAATAAACTTTCTTGTAGAACTTAGCGAGTTCTAACAAAATAAAAAACAAGTTTATTTGAATTGGATTACCGGATGGCCAGAAATTTTACTTTTTATTCATAAAATCTACATAGTCCCGTAAGGGACACAGACCTACAACCCCATTTCTGGGCCAAAATTATCAGCTGGGCAGCTTTACTTAATGAGGGTCCGCTAAAGCAGATCTCTATAAAATACTCATGCTGCATAATTGTGTTCTTGAGATCTCTATAAAATATTTACCCTAACTGCATCAAAAAAAGTAACTTTTTTTTAATTACCCCGCTTTAGCGATCCCCACTTACATAGTAAAATGTTGAGTAATTCCGGCCAGATTTTTTGATCGTCGCTCTTAGCCAATCAAAATCGAGAATCTGTCGTGACGGCAGCTACGGTTAATATGAAACCATCTTCTGTGCATTAACAAAAAGTTTCCTCGCGAAATTTTGATGTTAGGGGGTTTCAAAGTTAACGTGCGAGAATCTAATTTTGACAGAAATAGATGGCGTATTTATTGTTAAATGAGCGATGTATCAATGGGAAATACAAAGAAGTTTTCAAACTCATTTAATTTCCCCCTGTTAGAAAAACTTTTCCTAACCCTAATCTAGTAGCGAAATTTTTTTAGCCATATCCGCGGATATTTGGAATTACTATTAAAAATTCCAAAATATTTGACAGCGAATAACTTTTGATCCACCAGTCTGTTTTGGATGATTTTACTACCAAAATAACCATCTCGATGAGAGGATTCTAATGAGCTCAAAATCGTTAAAATTCAATTATGGATTATTGAGATCATTAAGGATTTATTTCACTTCGGGTGTTTGAGGATTAGTTTAAATCACTGAAATGACACGAATCCTTAACTATCTCGAGATTCGGTGAGTAAATTTTAACGATTTTGAGCTCTTTAGAATCCTCTCATCGAGATGGCCATTTTGGTAGTAAAATCATCCAAATCAGACGGGTGAATCAAAAGTTATTCGTTGCTAATATTTTGGAATTTTTAATGGTAATCCAAATATCCGCGGATATGGCGGGTTGGTACGTAACGCTAGGACAGTTTCACATTTTCACTTAACGTTAATGGGAATTTACGTAATTTTGGCTTGATTTTTTTTACAAATGAACGTTAAAGCCTATACACGTGGCTTATAGAAATTCCAATTGTGTGTAACTTTAAAGGCAATAGCCGCTGGTCAGTGCCAAGCAAGTATTATACTGTATAAATACCCGTTGTTTTCTATTTCGTATAACAGAAACTTTTCCCGACTTTTAAAGTTTTTTTTTTAATCATGGCGGATCAAAGAACTGAACTACTCAAAACATTGATGTCCATGTTCCCTGATGTTGATGCTGAAATATGTGAGACAATTTTAGACACGAATAACGGTGAATTGGAATTAAGTATAAATTCTTTATTGGGTATGTCTGACCCAAATTATAAAAGTGAAGAGTCTATTCCGGTTCAAACTGAAGTATGAGAAAATCGTAATATATATTTTGCAAAAAAGTCATTGTTCTGTTGATTTATTTTATGCTTTTTAGTCTGGTGTCACTTCGTCTTCAAGACAGCAAATAGAGAGTGATGAAGAATTGGCAAGGTACTTGGCCGCTGAAGCTGACAGTAAGTTTTAAAAAAAAATTATTCTATGAAAATTTCTTCAACAAAATAATTCCATAATTTGATCCATAAATGTAGGAGAACTTGGTCCTCCTCCTTCACATCTTACCGAACAACAACACCAAAATCAAGATCAGCAACAACAGCAACAACAATCACCTGGGTTTCCTGATTTCTCAGGTGCGAATCCATACAAATTTATTTTATTCGATATCATGTTATCTAATTTAAATTTAAATTTATCATTATGATAGAGAAGTTACCAGTCATCAAAGAAAAGATAATTCAAGCTGCAGACAGTAAGTATGAAAAAAAATCCATGTTCTCATATTAAATAAAATGATGTTGCAAGTAAATTCATAATTTATTTCAAAATAGCGACAAAAAAGAAGATGAATGAATGGTATGAAAAATTAAAACAACAAACTTCTTCACCAAGAAATGAAAATCAATTTTCAACCCCACAATATACAAATTTACCAAAAGACGAGGCTGATAATCCAATGCTTGGCGAAGATTTTTCCGAATCATTGAATTCCCACAAGAATAATCAACAACAGAATACCATCAATATTCATCGTACTACTTCCTCTTCACTAGAATCGCGACCCAAACCTTCCTTTGAAGAATGACATTATTACATAGTTTGATTTGTAAATCTGGTTATATTTTATGGATATTATCAAAGCCCAGATACATGACTTATTTTTGGTCAATAATATCAATCTCATAAACCTCAAATTTATTAAATCAATGTCATAAATTATTAAAAATTCATTTTATTTTTAAATCAAGAATCTAAAAGTAATTTATTTATTAAGCATGATCATTAAATAAGCTAGCTTTCAGACTCGGGCATTGCCCCGAGATTGATGTTTTTAAAATTTTTAAAATTTATTGTGTAATAAAGAAAATTAAAGATTATTTCTACTATATCCTCAAAAATAAAACTATTAAAATTCACCTTAATCTTGATTATGAAAATTTTAACTAAAAAAAAATCATTTTAATACGTAAGCTCACCCTGGTGTTTAGGCTTTATTACTTTTTAAATGTTGATTCATGTTACACCTGATCTCGGAATATTATTGGCTGATTTTGGAGGTTGGTGGCATATGAATTTCCGGTCGATAACCTTATTTTTGAATAATGCATCCAACATTTCAACTTTTCGTAAAAAAAACAAGAGAACATGTAAAACGCGGATTACTGGCCAGTGGTCGTTTAAAGTATCTTTATCCCAAGAGTGACCATTTGCCAGATCCACCACTCAAACAACCAAAGGTTAAAAAGGTCAAGAAAGAACAACCATGGATGGTTCAACAAACTTACAAACAAGCGCTAACAGGTCTTTACGCTGGCAAACACATTCAATATGGTAACCAAATCTCTGAGTTTGGTAACAAATCACGGCGCACGTGGAAACCGAACGTTCAAAAAGTTAAATTATATTCGGAAGCGCTTAATGAAAGAATTTCGATCAAGGTCACACCTCTTGCACTCAAAATAATGGACAGAAAAGGTGGATTGGATAAATATTTGCTTTCTATGAGGGATAAAGACTTAGGTGAACCGATGTACAGGTTGAAACATAGAATTGCTAGAATTTTAAAGGGAGAACCCGATATAGAACCAAGCAAAGAGCAGAAGAAAAAAGAGAGAAGAAAAAGAAAATACGCGTTGTTACAGCCTGGAGGTGTGAAAAATGTAAACTAGGATTTGAAATTTTATTGTTGTAAATATGGATCACGATAAAAAAAAATCTCAGAACTTTTATGCAATCGAGACACTCGGCAATTTCATTTTCATTATATAACTACGTAATGACTAATTATTTGTATATATCCAAAAAAATTGGGTTAACTTATCAGCAATAGTCCTGTAACTGTTTCATTTATGCGAAAGTATGTGTCGCACTTGGAAAAGTTTAGGGAAAGGGAATAGGTTATAAGATGAAGTTTAGAATCCGTTTTAGTCATTGTCTTTGTTGATACTGACCCTAAAATTATGCAATGGGTGATTAAAGGATTACCCTGTTGTAGACCTCAATGTTCGGATGTCTATTGTTGCAGAATTTTGGATTTGAAATCTTTACTGATAAAATACAGAAATAACTCTCAATGCTATATAAATTACAATCCCGAAGAATCATTTTGTTAGAAAAGACCCAATTTATCATGTAATCCAAATGGGAATTGATATTTCCACACCCTAACCTTAAAATTACTGTATATTATGTTTATTGTGGTTTTTTAGGGTTAGGGTGTGGAAATATAAGAAAAGTGTGTGTGTGGAAATATAAAGTCCCAATCCAAATATTCACTTAATTCAATGTAAAAGCTCGGGCAACTTGATGTTGCGGCAGTGGTAATCGGGATTCAGAACTCATATGATATATACCGTACAAAAAAAAATATAAAATTTGTTGCGTTATTTTGTTGAAACAAAGTATTTTAGAAAAATTGGAAACTTCAACATTAATTTTAATGAACGGTCTCAAATTGAAAAAACATTAGATTTTAAAGTGTATGCAGGATTGTAAATATTATAGGATATAAAGATATGACAAATTGTGATTGAGCTGTTTAGTCAAATCAAATCTTGATCAAATATCCTGCTCGGTGAACAGTTGGTTTTATATCAGTTCACCAACAATTACTTTATATATACCTTAGTTTTTTTTATTTTAAATATTAACGGTGACCTTAGTTTTAGAGCGAATATAACTATAATATGTTATTACTGTACCAAAAAATTTTTCAATTATTCTAACTAGCCAATCAAATTTCAATATCACGTAACACGATCAGGAAGATTCAAAGATCGCTCCTAACTCAAAATTTAGTCTATGAAACCGCCTTCTGCACACTAATAAAAAATGTTCCTTGCAAAATTTTGATACAAAAAACACTTTCAAGCCCTAGCTTGATAACAAATTACAGACCATAGTCTAATAATGTAAATTTTTACTTTGAAAAAATTTTGGGTGGCGGGTAAGGTTAGGGCCTGTCCAATGATAAAATTAGCCCAGGAACATTTTACACTTAATGTGCGACCTCGATTACATTACGTATTAAATTTTTGGTCGTTGCCGTTAGCCAATCAAAATCGGCAGGCACCTAGGTTCAAAATTTTACTACGTATGTATCTGCTATGATAACCTGTTTTGGCCTCTAAGTAAAAATTTTTAGAATAAAATTTTACGTTTTTTTATACAATAGGTAAATAAAAGGCATCTGTTGTACTTTTTTTACCAGATAATTAACGAGTTTATGCTGCGCCACAAACCTGACATCATTTTTAGGTTACTCGTGATTTTTGAAAACGGAGAAATTTTTTTTAAAATTTCACGACTTTCGTCATTTCAGCATTTATGTTCATGTGAAGAATTGATTTAAGCGAGTGTCGATATATGTTCTTATAGCATATATTTGCAAAATATCAAGATTATTTTTTTTATTTAATTTTTATAAAGGGCAATTGCATAGGTGGCATGTATACTTATATCATGGGAATGCGGGTGAGCTAACCAATAAACGTATTTCACCCTGCTGAATAATAATTCCCTTTCATATATTATATATATATAACGATAATACATAAATTTATAGATTTTTATTAAAAAAATATATATATTTGTTAGTCTTGTCTAAATACAAAGCCTTATGGTTTAAAATTTTGGATATTTGTAGAGTACATGTACCATAGGAATTCCGATTAGTGTTGGCAGGCGAAACTCCTGCTAAAGTTGAACCCCTAGGGAAAGTCAAAACTTGACGAAGATCAAATCCTCTAAGACTTCTGAAAAGACTGAGCCGTCTATTTTTATAATATTATTAGTAAAAATTTAAAAAAGTTTGAAATTTTATTTATTTTTTTATTAAATTCATGTAATGATGATCGACAAAATTAGCCAATCAATTAATGCGTGATAAATAAGAGTATTGCGCTACGTACGCTATATATATAAATAAAAATATTGATGATTATATAAAAAACTTAATTTTCTTTAATTACCTTTCTATTCTTGCTAGTTTTACCATTCTTTGCTAATTTTACTACCTTTTTTCAATTTTGCCACCTATTAGCAGTTTCGCCAGTTTCGCAGTTTCGCCACCTTTCGCCATTTGGATTTTTTTTTTGGCGAAAGTCGAAACTAGTTTCGCCTTTCGTCTGTGGCGAAACTCTTAGGTTTCGCCTGCCAACACTAATTCCGATGACCATAATTCTCCAATTTATTTTTAAAACGTTGCCGTTCCAAATTGACCTATTGTAAGAAAAGCATTTATCAATGTTAGCAATATGTAATTTTTTTATTTAGTGGTGAGGGCATGCCAAAATCAAATGCTTTAGTTTAAGGCGAGTCCTATAGTATAGAGTACCCTAACTTTGTAAAGTAAAAAATACACACCTTATTACTCAAGTTATTAAAGTCATTTGGATTTAATAACTCTATTGTATATGACCAGTATTACCTCTAACCGCCAATAACGATACAAAGTGTAGCTATAAGACTACAAAATAAATAACTCTTTTGCTTCTGCTAAAAAGCGATTGCACCAAGACGTATCGAGGTCCTATTTGCAGGATGTAGTGGAAAGTAACGGCAATAATCACGTCTCGATAATGAAGTAAAAAAATTTGGCTCAAATATAATATAAGTTCTTTATAATCAGGATATTTTTCAGACATGTTAATATAAAAAAACTAGATGCAAAAAAAACGAGAACGCTTAAACACGTAGTTTCTTCCTTAATTAACGCGTGGCACCGAAAGATTTTCACTGATCGACAGCGAATGACCAATTAGATTACAAGATCAGGTGTAACGTGAAATCAAAATTCGTAATTATAAACCCACCGTTTAAAAAAAATGTCGATCAGTGAAAGTCTGTCGGTGAGGGTTTTTCGGGACACATGATGATTAGCGACGAATTTAGCCAATGGGAAATCGAACGTAATACAATCAAAAAACAAACGTTCGTTTTGACCAAAAACTTGCTTTATCCCAAGAATTCACAAAAAAACCACTCTTTACGTTCTAATAAAAAAAATTTCCTTGACTAATTTTACTATATTTTTCAATTTCCAAACCCTAAACCTAACAAATTTAAGATTATTTTTGGCCATGATCACGTGACTTTAAAACTCTTGGTCGCCTTGTGGATTCGACCTCAGAGTAAAAAACCTTAATTTATTGAATTTGGTTATCTTGCACATTGGAATTTCCGATTACATTATTCTTTACACAATTCGTAATCAGATTATCTTTGTCAATATTTTCTACGATATAAACGGAGATGATCTAAAGTCAATTCAATAATTTGTGATAATTTTTTAAATAGTATCGTGTTTGGTGATCAACTGAGGTTATGGTAAAATGTTCGAATAGGTTATTTTTACAATAATCCGGTTGTTCTTCAAATTATTTATGTAATAATTCCACCGGCTTTAAATCCAGGATATATTATCGATTTAACAGTTTATGTTACAGTGCCCTGTGCAATTGAAACAGTCGGATATCCACAACTTCCAAAATCGGATGGGTTACCTAAAGTCCAGACGAAGTCTATTCAATCAAGTTGTATAAAATATTGAATTAAATAACTCTTCGCCAACTTTTTTGTTTTTAATATCATCTAGTTACAAGTCACTCTCTTTACAATGAAGTAATCCGTTCCATTAAAAAATTTTTAAAAAATTCACTATATCGAGAGAATTTTATATAAACCGGTTTTGAGCTTAACTTCACTATATCGAGATTTTAATTAATCTTCACTATATCGAAAGTTCACTATAACGAGAGTGACTTATACGACGTACGCACGTATCATGTTTATACGTAAACCTTCTAAAGAGTTGAAAAATAAAATTTTTGACAGTGGTATCGGTATTACCGTCAGTTCTAATTTAGTATATTCATTTGATGAAAAATATTTATATCCGGATATCTTGATATACTATTCATCAGATTAGACTTCCTCAACTTTGCCATGTCACAGTCATTATTACTAATTGAAGGCCCAAAATTTCCATTCTTCAATTTTGAATTTTCATCAAATTCTTTCCATTTATCGCGAAGATTCGTTATAAATAATCAACCAATATACCTATATTATCCACCTGTTTTTAATAATACCACTGATAATACTACTAAAGATGAATATAACCTTGATGAATCGTTAAATAATGAACCACTGGAACACACTATCCGTACCGCCGCAAGCGTTTGGGATGCTGTAATTTACTTAATTTTTTACTATATTTCTTTAAAAAAAATTCTTAATACTAAAAAAAAAAACTTAAAATTTCAAGAGTTTGATTCTTGCAAAATTTCTTGAGAAACAATGTCGTGAAAATAAGATCAACTTTAAAGAAAAAACATTTATTGAACTTGTAAGAAAGTATATTATTTGTAACAATAATTCAAAAAAAAATTCTTGACTATTTATAATTTTGATTTCTGAAGGGATCTGGTAAATCAATTCCATCAATAGCTTCAGCAATCCTGGGTGCAAAACAAGTCACAATAACAGATGTACCAAATGTGATTCCTCAAATAAAAAAAATAATTAAATTAAATGGTTTATTTAAGAATTCTGTAAATGTTGAACCTTTGGATTGGATAAATGGGTAGATAATTAAAATGCAGATCTCATTTATTTTGGCTTTTCTTTTTACAAATCAAATGCTCTCTATTTTTAATTAGAAAAGAACATATAGAAGCATTGAGTAATGCTCATTGGGATTATATCTTGGGAGCTGATATAGTATGGGTTGATTACTTGGCTAAACCGTTGATTGAAACTATTGATGGTAAAATAAAAGAATATATCTTTCATCTAACTGAACGCATTTTCAATTATTAATCATTTTAAATTTTTGATAGCTTTATCAACACCATCTTATACTAAACTATTGCTCTCCCATCAATCACGTACTACAAGATGTGACAACCTCTTTTTTAACAGCCTAAAGAAGTTAGGTTGGAAAATCGATAAAGTCTCGTATGACGAATTTAACTGGGAAGAAGGTTTCTTGAAAGATAATGTAGATATTTATTGTGGATATAAAGAATAGAAATTTCTTTAATAAAAATCGTTCAATAGATTTAAGTTATTTGCCATACATTATTACCAAAACTAATTAAATTTCTAAAGACTATGTATTTAACTCATGGCATCTATTTAAAAAATCAATTCTTTCCAGTGCGTGCACTATCATAATTCTGAATGAACCATTCAACAGATTCTTTCACAGCTTTTTATTAACATAAATGGTAATGTTAGCAATGTATAAATGATTATAAAGATTAAATTATTAGCATCTTACCAGTTTCAAATGGTGTAAACTCAAAATCAGGAAGATATTTTAATAATTTATCATTGCTGGCAGTCTTTTTGTATTGGCCATCAGCTTTAGTGGTATCAAACTTTAAATAAAACATAATTAAGATATTGAAAATTAAAAAGTAGTAATCTCATAAAAATATATATATATCAACTTACAGTGTAACTTTCTTTAAAATCCATAGCCTTTACAATTGCATCTGCAACATCCTTAATAGATACTTCATCCTTTTCACCGACTAAAAAAGAGAGTTAGTTTCAAATCAAAAAAAAAATTGTCAGCTCCCAAAAAATAATAATTTTATTAATTGATATTACCTGATAAGATAATAGGATCAATTTCATCATATTCCCTGAGTACCCAAATAAACAATTTCGCAAGATCTCGTGAGTAAATGAATTGACGACGAGGTTTACCAGTACCAGCAACTACGAATGGTGTTTTATTCTCTGAATGATAAAATAAATAAACAAACAAATAGGTTCCCTTTAATAAAAAAAATCTTAAAATAGTCATGCGAAATACTATTATACATACTCTTAGCGAGATAACATTTATGGATTAATCCGGGAATGACGTGCGAATCTTGCAAGTCGTAATTATCATGAGGACCAAACACATTAGTTGGAATAACCGAGGTGAATTTATCACCAAATTGATCGTAATATGCTCTAATAAAGAATTTAAGTTAGTTATATGTATGAAATTAGCAAACTATGTCTTATTTTTTCATACTTGTTTTGTGCATCTATCAAGCGTTTGGCGTATGCATAGCCAAAATTGGAATCGTGCGGAGGTCCATTGTGTATCATGGTTTCATCGATCGGATACGTTGTTTTGTCTGGGAAGATACAAGTAGATAGGCATGATACAACTTTCTTAACCTAACGAAAAAAACGTCATTCACAAATTTTTTGAAAATGCGCAACAAAATTTCATACTAACTTTATGTTCATGCGCAGTGTGCAATACGTTGTCGTTGATCAGTAAATTATCACGTAAAAAATCCAATTTATATTTCATATTTTTAAAGAGTCCTCCAACAAGGGCGGCTAAATGTATCACGTGAGTTGGATTATATTTGTCAAAAATTGCGCGAGTAGCTTCAACAGACCTAAATGATATAAAAGAAGCGTATAAAATCACTAGTTAGAAATCTTAAACAATATTAATATGAATCTTAAAGCAGAACAAATCTTACCTCAAATCACCATCTTTGCTGGTAAGGAAAATCCACTTTTCGCCTTCCATCTTACCGAACTTTCCTTTGTCATTTTCAATCACCCATTCAATGGCTTTTCCAACGAGCCCAGAACCACCAGTGACTATGATTACTTTATCTTGTGTCATCTTGTAAAGAGCTCGTTTCGATTCTATAGTTGAAAACCAGCTAAAATTTTTGCATATCGGTATTATTTATTATTCGTTTTTAGGTAATTCGTGATTAATTAGACTCTCACATGATATAGTTCGAAATTGTACAACTGTCCAAGGACGAGTCTAATTGTAACAACCTGTTACGATACTATTGGCTAATCTGAGGTTGTTACGAGAACATTAATTCTTAAAATAATGTTCAGTAAATAGATTTTATTTAAAAACTCATGCGTCTATTTTTAAGGACACAACTATAGATGCTAGTGAAATTAAATTATTTAAATTTAGCGAAATTGGTGTGAAATATATTATCCTTCGAACGGTAAGTAATCGCAGGCAAATTTGCCTGCAATTTTTTCTTTCGCTATATTATACCGAAAATAAGCACCCCTTGCAATTTACATATACCCGAAAATAAGCACCCCCTAGAACATAATACCAAATCTTCTAATTTTATACACAATATTTATATTAGTATAAGAAAAATTAAAATAACATACAATTTGTTATTTTAAGCACATGTGGTAAGTATTTCTAAACCGCAATGCCGCTGGAAGACATTATTTTTATTAATGTATGTAGCACAATCAAGAATCAAATTTAATAAAAGTGCTACATTTAATAAAATAAATGGTTTTTCTTGCATTTAGCTATAATCTGCCCAATCAAACACCGGTAACTGCATTTTTTTTTTCCTAACAGCATTTTTTTTTTAACAGCATTATTTTATTTTCTTTCAGTTCATGGCTCCAACGGTTCTATTTTTACTCTGAATAATTATCCTAATTAATTGCGCAATTGTAAATTCGTAACACTTATATTAGCCAATTTATTTATTTATTTTTTTATTTTAATTTTTATTTTAAGTTAAAGTCCCTATCTTCGGGATGCGACATACCAATTTATTTATTATCAGTATCACAATATATTATTAAAATAAAAAATGCAATACGAAATTACCTTAATCATCCCAACTTACCTGACCCTCATTGGGATATCTTCAATAACTACTCTCCTCAACCAGGAGCATCACACAATTAAGACCTGGTTTTTCATCTTCCCAAGCAGACAACAATAACTCAACTAAGATACTAGATACCTTCACAAACAACTTTACTATAAACATTAAGGAACATCTTTTTTTTTTTTTTTATTAATATAATATCAAGTAGGAAAATAATAATATATGAATATATCAATTAGATATAATGTATAACTAAAGAATTATTTCTAAACAATATTATTGTTGCTATGTATATCTAATTACATCTAGTGTGATATTATTTTCTTATTTTCTGTTATTAGTTAAGTTAATTATTATTAATATTTAACTATAAAAGAGATAAAGAAACTCTTAGAATTGTTGGTTTAATAAAAGCAAATATGTATAATAAAATTTTAAGAAAGAAGTTTAATTATAAAAGAATCTATATTAGTATCAAAGATAAAAGTAGTATTATTAGAGTTTGTTAGTTTTGAAATAAATAAATAGTTGTTGTTTTTTCTTTTTATTAAGATAGTGATTTCTTATACTAACTCTCATTCATATTGTTTAATATTTCATGTTTGCCAAATAGTAGAGTTAAACCAAGTAAATATTAAGTTTGATAATGAGATAAGAACATTATTAGTTAATTTTTTTTAAAATAAGTTATAGTTATTTGTAATAATTTAGAGTTTTTTTTTTTGCTTTCACTAAGGCCTTTTAGTTATGATGACTATTGCCTTTATTGTAAATTCAATTATAATTACATAACTTGTACAAGATTACTTCTATACTACACTAGCAAATAGCAGCACAAGCTCTCGTACACCTAATTAGATGTCGTCTAACCTAACCTTGACCTCTCTGTCTGTACATCTGTCAGGTCATTACATATTTCAGAGTATATTACCTAACTATAAGGCTTTAGGAGGCCCTCCTGCTAACTAACTACCTATATTTAATCTTTGCTAGCAGAGCTTATCCTTGCAGAGTTCACCCAGACTCTAGTACTGACTTCATAGCATATCTCTAGTACTTTAATATACTCTTGTTTCCAACCTTAGACTCCTAATCCAGATAGCTCAATAGAACTGTGACCTGTCCCTAGTACTCTAGAGTCTGCTCTTCAAGGTTCTTTTTCTTTGGTTCAAGACTTCTAGCAGTCTAATTGGTAGTACTCCTTACCCGAGATTCTTGCCCGCCTGATTCTTTCCACATTAGTATCCATTTCCTAGATTTAGCCTTTACAGTAATACTGTTAAAAATCCATGTTACCTCTCTACTTAGGTCTTTCCAAGTGGCTTTAGTTATCCCAGTTCACGGATTTACATAGCTATAGATGCTCTATGACCTGCCAGTTATCTGGTGTGACCATATTACAAGTACTGATTCCAACTAATCGACAGATAACCATTGTCATAGTACTGGTTTCAAGAACTTATCTTGTGTTTGCACCACCCAATGCCAGTTTGCATTTTTCTGTATAACTCTAATATTGCACAAATGCCTGTATACATTGATGTAACATAGGTGATTTTCCAAATTTTTGCTGTCAGTAGGTTTTGAACTCCCAACCTACTATTTGGGGAGTTGACAACTTATTTATTTCACTAAGTCACCACACCTACATAATAATCTAGAGTTAATGTATCCTAAATAAGTATTAGTAATAAGTTATTTATATTAAAGTTTGAAGAAGAATTATATAAATTTAGAATTTGTATTATTGTATATAGTGATGTTTTTGATAAATTTAAAAAATTTAAAGTATTTGTTATTTTGTTGATAAGAATATTAACTAGATTATATAAATAAAAAGAACATTTCAATAAGTGTTCAGTATTTTCATATTGATTACAAAATAAGCATTTGGAGTTAAATAAAGAGTAGGATAACAAATATTTAAATTAAACATTATTGGTAAGTTGTTAAATAATATTTTGTTTCTAAGAAAGTATAGATTTAGATTGGAGTTTTGAGAGTTAATAATTTCAGTTAATAGTTAAATATTTATGATAGAAAGGTTCCTTAATAATTTGAATTGAAAAAATTTGTTGAATGTTTAAATTGATAATAAATTTTTATAAAATTTATGTAATTTGTATATAATTGGAATTTGATTCTAAATAAAGAACAAAAGAAAATAGAAATAGTCAAGATTAAATTCAAGCTTAGTTTTGTTAGCTTCATGTTTAGCTAAAGTATCAGCTATATTATATATGTTATTTGAATAAGATTTGATCTTATATATAATATAATTGATATTTTTATGTTTAATTAAGAAGTTTAGAATATAAATATTATTCTAATTATTTTATTTGGTTTGTAAGTTGTAATTGTAGGATATTAAGTATATAAGAGTTTGGATAGTAGATAAACTACTAAGATGAATATAAATTTGGTGTTTAAAGAGTAAGACAAGAAATAAAAAAATAAAAGTTGCTAATTCTGTTTTTATAGAGTTTGGTACATAAGGTATAGATACATTAAATTTGATTTGTATATCATTTTCAAGAATTCAAATGATATTAGTAGAAATATTAAATGTTTATAAATTTATTATTGAGACATCAGTATAAAAATAAAGATTATTTGAGTTAATTTGTAGTATTTTTTTGTGCAATCTATAAGTTAATTTTGATATATAAGATTAAATATTGTATTTTGAATTAAGAAAATTTCTAAGAAGAGTAGTAAAAGTATAGGAAAAGTTTATGAAACTGAGCTTATATAATTTTGCATGTATGTTTTGAAATGCTTAAATTTCTTGAATATTAATATTGAGTTTAAGATAGTGTTTTGTATTTTGTATTCAAGGTTAATAATTTGTTTGTGATTTAGTTAAAAATTTATAGATGTTAGAGAAATATAAATTGTGTTAAGTATTGTTATAGTAATTTAATATTTTTGAAAAACTATTTTGAAATTAAGTGTATTTATTATTTTGCCAATATTCCAACTTTCAGATAAGATGTAGAGTGTTTATGTATTTTTAAGATTATTATATTGAGATATAATTAGATTAAGTGTATTTAGAAATAGATTAATTAGTTTAAGTTGCAGATTAGATCATATATATTAAATAGTAGAAGAAGATATTTTATTTGAAAGAATTTTGAACTAGTTTAAAATAGGATCTCAAGAAGATTTACAAGTTCTAAAGTAGATATTTTTCTAGAGAAGTAGGTTACAATTATTAGCTATAAATAATTGTTTAAGAAAAAGAATTTTGTTGTTTTTAAAACTTAATATTGTTAGATTATTTGAAAATAAAATAAAATTGTAAATATTATTTAGTTAATTAGTTTGTTTATAGATTGTTAACTAGTGAAGTAATAAGTTGTTGAAAGAGATATTATTTTTATAAAGATAAAATAGTTATGATATTATAATGAAATTAAAGGTTTTCTTATAATTTTTAAGTATTATATCTTGAGATAAAGATGACTTCTATATTTTAGAAAGCTATTTTTTTGATTTTATATATAAAAATTTGATTTAGAAATATGTTGGTATTGAAGCATCTTTCTATGTTATTACTGCTAACTTGTAATATAAGTTTGTTAAGTGTTAGAATATTAAATAATTATAAGTTAATAAAAATATTATTGTTTGTATTTGTAAATAGGTGAAGCATATGTTTAGTATATTTCATTAGCATGCTTGATAGTTGTTGAAGTTTGTTTTAAGAAGAGAAACAAATTTGAAGTAGATACTCTAAAGATGATGATAGAATAGTATTAAATAATTATAATATTTGTATAGAAAGAAGTTTTTTGTATTAAATAATATGAATAAATTAGAAGATTTTATTAAAGATTTTGTTGAGTATAGGTTTAGTTAAGCCTTTTCCATCTATAAATATTTTTAAATATCTGATTGTTTCATTAGATTTGTAAGATATAATTAGTTAATTATTAAAGATAAGTAGTAAAGGATTTGGAGAAATATTATGAAGTGCTTTTTTGTTAGATAGGATATGAATAAA